GATTAATATTTTAAATTATTAATTGATTAAATTTTATAATATCTTATAATCTTTAATATAAATTTCCTGTAAATAACTTCATATTATGGACGTTAGAATAAATAATTAATTCGAAAAATGTCTTTCACACTTAACTTTTATACCAATATCAGATGTATAAATGTAACTAAACAAATATTAGTTTGTTTTCATTAATCCTTTGTAACATTACACTTAAATTTGAGAAGAAAGTGACTCTTGATGGATAGATATACCCTTATCATAAATAAATATATTACTATGTGTGAAAACATGTTATTCAAGTTAAAATTATAAAACAAATAAAAATTGAAGAATAAACTTTTGAGCAACAAAAAATTATATACAATATACTATAATTTATTAATTTAAATATCATTAATCTATCTTTGCAACATAATACATCATATAAACAAACAATTTAATTTAAATTTTACTAATAACATTATATGTGTGAGGTAGGATCTTCTAATACTAGTATAAGTTTTAAAACTCTTAAACTTGATTAGAGTCTTTTATTTAACTTATATTTAATAGGTTATAATTTATTACTTCAATAACCATTAGTGTAAGTTAAATAAAAAACTCAAATCAAGTATAAAATTTTTTAAATTTATACTAGTATGAGAAGATCTTTCACACACACACACACACACACACACACACACATATATATATATATATATATATATATATATATAATAAATTAATGATATATATAATATCATTAATAATGTGATTTTAATTATTTATGAAAGTATATATTAAATTAAATTTGTAAATATAATATTTTATAAATATGTTATACAACATCAATGAAAATTTGTCCGAACGACAAGCGGTTCAATATTATTTAAGTAAAAGTCTTGAGTTTGAGTCTTTGTATATATAAAAAAAATATTATATAATCAAAAAATTTAATTTAATAATAAATTTATAAATAAGTTATTTCATAAAAGTAATGGAAAGTTAAGATAATTTATATGAGTAACTTATAAATTTGTTCTTTATTATTTTTAAAATTTATTAAAATAATCTCTAAACTAAGTAAAATTTATTTTAGTTTTTAGTATATCTAATTATTAGTTATTTTAGTATTTATAATTTTGAGAACTTATCCAAATAATATATAATCAAAATAAAATGTTATTTTAGTATTCAACACAAATAATTATTAATTATTTTAATTCTTAACGTATATAATTCTTAATCATCACTTACACAATTGTTCTAATAAATTAAGTGTCATGTAGATATAATATGTAATATTTAATGATGATATAAAAAATATTTAATTAATTAATTTAGTTCTTATAAAATCTTAAATTTAAAAATTTTAAAAATTAAATTAATAAATTTTAAAATATATTACTTTATTATATTATCATTTAATGTCACATAATATAATTAACTAATAATTATTATATTAAGTTAACTTATTTTTTAAAATAATCTTCTCTTACATTATTTATCTTTTTAGAGAATGTCATCAAGGTAGTGAAGATTTAAGGTTTTCTTTGAAGTGGCATAAAGGAATTATAAAAAATAGTTTGAGTTAAATGGAAAAAAGTATGAATGCCAAAGAGCGAGAGTGATTTAGTGGTGAGAAATGTTGAATGCATTAATTGAAACTTGTTGGATAAATGAGTTTGGAAATAATTGAAGTTTCCAAATTCATTATACTTTAAAGTGTTATGAGCACGATATGAATCATGTGCTTACATGTTAGTTTCTTTGGAGGTGACTTGTAATGCTTTAGATTGATGAAGGAACGTGATATGGTTTTGTAAACAAACTGGTGAGTGGATATATTTTAATATCACACTGATATTTGGTGATTGTTGTTCATTTAGTTTTTGGAAGGAGAAATAAGTGAGAAATATTGTGTTAACGAATACATACCCAAGGTTATTTTTAATAGCAGCTAACAAGGAGGCTTGAGTGGTGGACAATGGACTATTTGAGATGGGCCAATAGGTGTAAAAAATTCTTTAGAGAAAACAATTGTTTTCATGAGAGGAAGATTAATAACAATAGTTATGGGAGATTATGGATGATACGAGGCCAATGATAAATGTGAATGGAATATTGATGTGGAAGTGTGATAGTAATAAAAACTATCCCAATATGCTTATCACTACATTCATAATTTCTTCATTGCATGTAGTTGTTTATAATTGTGTCTAGTGCAAGTATTACGTAAAATTTGAAAGGTCAGTGCACTAAGAAAAATAACGGTATTCATGTGGTGCCTATTGCTTAATGTAATTCCAGTAAGGAAGAATTTGACCAAATGCAAAGTGACAATTCCATCAAAAGCTTGTGGGTTATCTAATATCGAAGATGAGGACATACTGCACTTTTTTTTTTTGTTTGCATTGTGGTATTTCTATGAGACTATAGTATACAATGTTTCAACAGTTTGGTATCAATATATGCTTACATAAAAATTTGCATGAGACATTACTAAGAATGTATGAAATTCGACATGGGAAAAATAATTAGAGAGAATGTGTAATGATGTGGACAATTGTGATGACGATGTCAGTGAAATACCACAATTTACGATATACTTACCTGAATATTATTTAACACATCGTTATTAAAAATTTGTGAAATATTTTGACTTTAGTGAAATAGTATTCTTTTCAATAATGGTGTGTTAAATATTAATAAAATACTTGATTAAATTAAGTATTATTTTTTAAAGTGGCTAGCTGGCAAGACCTTTGAAAAACTTAAGTGTGCGAATTGGATTAACGATTCTTTAACATGCAGTGATAATTGCATTAGAGATATAATAGATTAAAGTACCTCTAGTATTCTATTTTTTTTAATAAAATATTAATATTTTAAAAAATTAATTAATTTTTTGAAACAACTAATTTTTTAAAAAATAATTAAAAATTATATATATTAAAAATTAACATAATTGATGATCACATGTTTTAAATACTAAAAATACATTTTATTTAAATTATAAATTAGCTTAAATTATTTTTGAAATTATAAAAATAAAAATAAATAAAAAATACATATATTAAAAATTAAAATAATATTTTATTATTAATAAAAGTTAATTTAAATAATAAATAACTCAATATTACTTAAACAAGTTTTCAAATTTAAACTTATATATACAAAAAAAATTTAATAATAAATTTATTCATCATATCCAGTAAGGGACCTAATAGTTTACTATTTATCAATTTTGGATGGCTTGAATTATCAGAAAATCCAAACTAAAATTCGGGTGAATGCTAACGTCTACTAAGACGAAACCAGCGTATCATTGATTCTGCTGATATGAGCGGTCGTATCAGGAGGAACCAATTATTGATATTACTAAATAGTCCCTTTTTCTTTTTTTATAAAAAAATACTTCAAAATGATTAAACTGCTCCATAGTCATTTTCTATTTATTGAACAGAAAAGATGTTGAAGTGGCTTAAATGACTAAGAATGTGAATGCTAAAATATATGCAGAACGTTTCTTAAGTTTTATAAATTTATAATATATATTATGACTTTTATGTGACCACGTGCAATGCGAGCACTAAAAGAAATTTTGTTTTGCCCTCGTATAACACGAGATCATATTTAAAATCAAATCATATGCTACAGTTTCCAAAATTATTTAATTATTTTGTATTCAGAATGTTTCTTAACACTATGCTTACATATCCTCATTCTACACTCCTAACATATCCTTTTAAGGGATTGTTATCCATCAATTAAAATTTATTACAAATTATAAATTAAAAATATAATTTTATATTTTATAAAAAAAATTAATACTGCACTCCTGGCACTCCTGACATAGTTTAATAGATTTTATTTTTAATAAAATTATAATAATTCTATGAATTTTATATAAATAAAAATATTTACAAAAATTTAAAAATTTATATAAAATAATAAGAAAAAAGTTAAATAACAACTCTCATCTTTAAAATTTAAAATAAAATTAATAAAAAGTGAATAAAAAATAAAATAAATTGTAATGAAGGAAATGCAATTCATATATAATTTTAATTCTAAAAAACATATATAGCAAAACTATGAAAGAGAATAATTTTACAACATTGAATTAAATTGATGACTAAACTCTATTTTAATCTCTGAGACAGTACGTCTAAGATGTGTAGTCTTTTTGAAAGGTTTTGTATTTGTATTTTTAATTCATATTTTTACTACCGTTAAACTACTTTTAATTAAATTTAATTCTATATAAAAGCAAGGATTCACTTAATCTAACTGAAGAACCAATCTTAAACATGCAGACCCAATTACCACAATATTCGTAATATGAGAAGATATAAAAGAAATTTTGAATTGCAGTTGCAGCAGTTTAGTGTGACTTTTGTCTTTGTTATTTTAGGATTAGTATTTCTCAACCAAATTTAGTGAACGTATATTAGCCCAAATAATGTGTTACGTCATGACATGAATGCACAAATAAAAAGACCTATTAAGGTAGGTAAGAAGCAAATCCTGTTTTCTTTATTTAAAAGGAAATATATACAAATGTCCAAAAATTAACAAAAGAGGAAGGTAAGCCAATACACAAGCTATACTTATTACTTAAGTATGTATAACCACCATCAAGTTTTTTTTAAATAATAATATTTTAGTTATCAATAATAATTTTGTTATATTATATTAGACTAAATTAACAAAATAAATTTTAAATTAGTAAAAATATTATAAATAAATTTTTAAAATCAAGATACATTAATATATGAGGAGTTGAAATATAAAACTAAAAAACTAATTTCAAAATAAGATTACATTAATATTAAAATTAAAATTAAAATTAAACTAAAATTATATTTAAAATAAATACAAATATTTAATATAAAAGAATCACGTTATCTAACAAAATTAACCCTTAAAAATATTCTTACCAGAAAATAAAGAATCATATTTATAATCCGAACGTGATTTGCCACTATAAAAGAAAAAAACTGGTTCATAGTAGCAAATGTAACAAGTCAAAAGTCACACATATACGAAGAGTTCCAAGAAACCAGAAAATTAGCTCTCATTTACAACCGCTATTCTCATTGCTTAATACATCTTTTGCTATCCTAGTTTGACCAACTTGTTGGCCTTGGAGATGGATTATCGCTATGTTCTGGGAGGAATTATGTGTTGTAGTATGACTTTTGTGTTTGTTGTGTTCAGTTTTGGAGCAAAGAAGAAAGGCCAAGGTTCAAGTTCAATACATGTAAAAGGCAATGGGTATGCAAAGACATCAGAGAATGGAACATGTCCACAAGAGGGTGCAGAAAGTGCTGAAATCATCATTGTGGGTGCTGGTGTTGCTGGTGCAGCTCTTGCTTACACACTTGGGAAGGTACAAGGCTTTCTATTGTTTATGCATTTCATGGGGATGATGGTTTTTCTTGTTAATTCATATAGATCTGTTTGTATGTTCCAATGAAGAATATAGATGCCATGCTGAATACTAATGCATTATTGGTTGGTTTCTTGACATAGTTTTGGAGCATGTTTTTGTTTTGAGAGGGATCAGTGATGTTGGTGTGCTTCTTTGTTGTAGGATGGACGGAGAGTGCATGTGATTGAAAGGGACTTGAGTGAACCTGACAGGATCGTGGGTGAATTGCTACAACCTGGAGGGTATCTCAAGTTAATTGAGTTGGGTCTTGAGGGTAAGAAAGAAGCCTGCAATTTTGACAATTTTTTGCAAAGTTAATATATGAAAGATTTTGTAATAATTGAAGTATGTGTTATGTGTATCTTAGTTAATAACTCCCCCTTGACTCTGCTGGTCAAATTCATGGCTCTTAACAGAGGGACGTTTTGAATGATTGCAGATTGTGTGGATGAGATTGATGCTCAGCAAGTATTGGGTTATGCTCTTTACAAGGATGGCAAGAATACAAAGCTGTCTTATCCATTGGAAAAATTTAACTCTGATGTTTCTGGGAGAAGCTTTCATAATGGCCGTTTCATACAGAGAATGCGAGAAAAGGCTGCATCTCTTCCAAAGTACACATTTTTATCGGCCTTTCGTTTTCATTAAAAAAAGACAAGGCAAATACTTAACTAGTTCCGCAAGGGCGCTCATTAAGGAATTAAAATTGACAAGTTTTTATTATAAAATATTATTAATGGATCCCATGATTTTTAATGCATCCTAACATGATTTCCAATGAAAATATATCACTTCTGATTCATTTAGGCAGTGGTTAGCTAGACCCAAAAAATATTTGTTTCTAAAATTTTACTACTGTATGAATCCATCCTTTGCATCACATAGTCTCGTCCTAATTTTCTGCAGTGTAAAATTGGAACAAGGAACCGTCACATCTCTACTTGAAGAAAACGGGACCATCACAGGTGTGCACTTCAAAACCAAAGGTGGACCAGAGTTCACAGCAAAGGCTCCCCTTACCATAGTATGTGACGGTTGTTTTTCCAATTTGAGGCGTTCTCTTTGCAATCCTAAGGTAAGGATGCTAGGTTTCTTGTCAGGTATATGATTGTGACATAGGCTTTATTCAGGGTTTTCTTCTTGGTTTTTTTTTTATCAACTTTGAGTGTGAATAGGATTGATTATGAGGTCCAGTTTATAGATTTATTCTTGATTATAAGATGTCACTATCTTTGCAGGTTGAAGTACCCTCTCATTTTGTTGGTCTAGTCTTGGAGAATTGTACTCTTCCATATGCAAATCATGGACACGTCATCTTAGGTGATCCTTCACCTATTTTGTTTTATCCCATCAGTAGCACTGAGATTCGCTGTTTGGTTGATGTTCCTGGCCAAAAGTTACCTTCCCTTGCTAATGGTGAAATGGCCTGTTATTTGAAAACTGTGGTTGCTCCTCAGGTACCAATATATGTTTGCCTTTATTTCATAACTATTAAGTCTTCCAAATAATGAACATTCCTACTAATATTCAAGCTAGATACCATTTTTTTTACTGATTTGTGTCATATTGCTTCAACTAATTGAGGAAATTGGTATGTTTTAGGTTCCTCCAGAGTTGTATACTTCTTTTATAGCAGCTGTTCACAAAGGAAACATAAGAACCATGCCAAATAGAAGTATGCCTGCATCCCCTTATCCCACACCTGGGGCCCTTCTGATGGGTGATGCATTCAATATGCGACACCCTTTAACAGGAGGAGGAATGACTGTGGCTTTATCTGATATTGTTGTGCTAAGGGATCTACTTAAACCTCTACATGATCTGCGTGATGCTTCTGCTCTTTGCAGATACCTTGAATCATTCCACACCCTACGCAAGGTAAGTGATGTAAAAATTATTTTGAGCCTTCACATTATAACATAGGCCTTTGAGTTTAATGTTTCCTTGATTGCAACTTAGTGGTGCAATACACAAAAACTCGGTGTAAATTTCTTGTTCTATTTGCAGCCAGTGGCATCTACAATAAACACATTAGCCGGTGCATTGTACAAAGTGTTTTGTGCATCTCCTGATCCAGCTAGAAAGGAAATGCGCCAAGCATGTTTTGATTATTTGAGCCTTGGAGGTGTTTTCTCAAATGGACCAATAGCGCTACTCTCTGGTCTGAATCCTCGTCCATTGAGCTTGGTTCTCCACTTCTTTGCGGTGGCTATATATGGTGTTGGCCGCTTGCTTATACCCTTCCCTTCTCCAAATCGGATGTGGCTCGGAGCTAGATTGATTTCAGTGAGTACTTCTCATTTTCCTTTTTGCTTAAACACACAATATTTCAGAAACCACTTCTAATACTTTGCTGTTAAAATCTCACTCCAACCAAGCTAGCCTAAACTTACACGGTAAAATGTAAAGTTTGGACTTAAAATTTTGAATCCGAACTAAATTTGGGCCTTTTAAACCCGATCCAATCAAGCTTAATATGAGCTAAGCCCTAAAAAATTTGCAAAACACCATACTTTATTTGTTTTCTAAGCTATATTTCCAAATACTAGAAGTAGTTTTGGCTAATTGTGTTACAAATTTTGAGTTTGAATCAATTCTAATTTTCTTTTTCCTGATATGCCAGGGTGCATCAGGTATCATATTCCCCATTATTAGGGCTGAAGGAGTAAGACAAATGTTCTTCCCAGCAACTGTGCCAGCCTACTACAGAACACCTCCTCTTTATTTACATTCATGAAGTAAAATTAAGACATGGAATATATAATTTCCGACATTCTTTGTTCCTTTAGTATTTCACTATTTGCGAAAAAGAACAAGAGGAGGACCATATTTTGTGCAACTGCAACCTATATTGTGCTGTAAAATTAATTAAAAAAACCAAATTTAGATTTGGGACCCTCCAAAAGAAAAGTCTCAAAACAAATCTTCCAAGCATTAGAGTTAAAAAATGCTATGATTTGTCTTTAGTGTAAGTTGTCGTATTTTGGCTACGAGTATGGTATTGACGTATATATTTCACTTGGATGAGAGGCAAGGTAAGTATAAGTACAGAAAGATGTCGCTGTAGTGTGACAATTGAAGCAACCATAATGGCCACCAAATGGAAGATAGTATTGCATTTGTCAAAGATTATACCTTCACTCAATTTCAAAAATAATTGAACCCAGTTAAAATGGGTAAACTTTCTTCCTTTGTGTAGAAAACCATATTTCTGAGCCACGACAAATTCTCACAGTGGACTTGGCCTAACCCAACAGCTCTTTGCCTCACAGTAATGAAATTCGTAAAACAAACTTCAAGTTTAAGTACTCAAATTGTGAACCTGGCACTCACTGATTCATTTTCATTAGCGATCTTGAACTTAGAAATTCAATGGTACATATTATTGTTTTGGTTCGGAGGCGAAAACAAATAACCACTGTTAGACACTTTGTACTTGCCTTTTTTAGATTCATGATAGTGTAAGTTCAGAAACTTGACTTAAAGGAACTGCTAAGAGATACTTAGACGCAAGAACATGTTCATGGACAATCGTATTAAATTCATATTTCATTTTCTTTTGTGAAGTTTCTAATTAATAGTATAATATTCGTGATAGTGTAGATTCATATTTCATGGACAATCGTATGCTAATATTCGACGAACAGATAGTATAATATTCGTCTTTCCATATACTATATTATGAATGTAAGTATATCTATAGATAGATATTCACGAGTATATTGGTAGTAATATATATACGACTCGCTTTTATTTTTAAATAAAACTTTTGTTTATCTTATATCCAATCCTCCTTACTTAAACTCAAAATTATATTAAGTTAAAATAAATAATAAATAATATATTTTTATCGTATGTAATATATATATTAATTAATTTTTTAAATAGTAATTATATACAGCCTTTTAAAAATAAATTTATATATCATATATGATATACAATTTCAATTTTTTTAAAACGAAATATAGGTCGTATATTTAAAATTATACCTTCTCTTTTATAAAAGAGAAATAACAAACTGATTCACACGGTATCTTTTTATTTTTTATACCTGACTTACTCCAATAATGTAATTTCATTGTAACACCTTAGGCTTTTGCATTAAAGTGATTGTTGACTCAAATAAATGCATTAGTAAAGAATGTAATTAAGTTAATTAACTGAGGCATGTCCAAATTATCTTTTGAATATAATCTTACCATCATGATAAGATAAAATGAAATTTAACATTAAATAATGGCATAGATATTCTTATATTTTTTTACTAACTTATTTGAATTAATTAGGCTCTTTTTTATAAGAAAAAAATAAAAAATTATCAAAATATGATATTTAGGGAAAAAAAAAGTATCAAAATATAAAATCTTTTCAAAAATTGCTATTGACAACTTTTTAAACTTTACAACTTTTCGTTATTATACTGCCACTTACACTAAAAATTATCATTAACAATTTTTTAATTTCTTATTTTTATAATTTTTTAAAAATGTCATATTTTGATATATAGTTTTTTTAAGTTTTATATATAACAAAATAAATCAATTGAATATTTATATATGTTTACAATTTTAAATTTTAAATTTACAAAAAGTACCAATATAAGGCATGACCTATTGACTAATAAGGAGAATATTAAATACATAATTAATAGACTGTATTGTTAATATTTAAAAAAAAATGAGTGTGATAAAATAAATTAAGTAAAAAGATGACTTTACTGTTTATCATATTTGGTCACATCACAAACATTTCATCAATATTACTAGCAAAATTAAATATTTTTTATTATTTTTAAAATAACTCTTGCCACAAAAAGCGTGAAATAGTAGAGATCGTGCTATGTGTAAAAAAAATGTCCTATGTGTCATAGAATTAACGATATTAAATTAAAGTTTTGTCATTAATAAAGAAAAACATGTGAAGTGACACTGCAAGTTCTAAAATTTTGCCACATAAAGTGGAAAAGTTCAACATTTGTTATAAAATTAATAATTTTTCATTCACAGCGACATGTAACTCAATACTAGTTTCATCAATTTATTATTAATAAGAAATATTTATCATACAATTAATATTTTTATCATCGTATATCTTTAAAGTTGTATATTATTTAACATTTAGATGAATTGTGAAATTAATATAAAAATAACTTAATTAAAGTTAATATTAAATTTGAAATATTTTTTTTCTTTTTAATATTTCAAAATTTAATTCTTATTTGATCTGGAGCATTTTCTTATTTTTTTAAAAATTTCTATTTTTTAAATAAAAAATTCACCTCATATATATAAAAAATTATTTTAAGATAAAAAAACGCTGTGTCCTGTAAAACTTTCGCCACACTATGGGTGATCCTCGTCAAATTTTGTCATTAAAAATGCAAAACATTTTTTATTTCCCCACATGTCAACAATACGTGTATTTCACATTCGCCATTTTGTAGGAAGTTTACATTTCACTAGCTTGACACATGGCAATATTTATATTATTTTGCAATTTTAGTGTTAAAATTCTTTTTAAAAAAGTTAATTAATTTTATGAGAGCATGAAGCTTTTGTCACTGGACAGGCAATTAATTTTAAAAAAAACTATAGTTTAATAAATTATTTTTAAAAAAGCAATATTTAAATAAAAAAGTCAAAACGATGAATGCTGCACTGCTGCGCTCTAGCATATTTTAAAATTAATACACACTCCATAAATGATAATTACATTTTTTAATTTTATGCAGCAAAAATTAAACTAGTCAGGAAAAATAAAAAATTATTACAAATTATTTTATATTTACTATTTAATTTTAAAATATTTAAAAATTTATTGAAAATTGATAAATAATTTGTGTAGGTATATTAGAAAAAAAAAATGCAATCCATTATGTGGTCCGAAAAAAGCAGAAGTGTCTCTACCAGTTTCTGAATTAAGAAGTGGCAATAGGACCCATCCGTGACCCCATCAAGTGATCAACCCTAAGCTTGGGTCAGAGACAACACAATCTCTCTCTCTCACTCTCTGAAGTCTGAACACAGCACTATCTTCTTCCCATCTTCAGGTAACCAATTAACTCTCCTTCTTTTCCCTTCCACTCCTGCTCCAATTAACACAACTTCTTATTTTCATCTCTCCACTTTAATTTAATCCCTTTGTTATGAATTGGGTTGAAGACAAAATTGTTTTTTTTTTTTTTCCCTCTTTTTATAATGGTTTTGTTTGCTTGTAAGTTTGTTCTTTGTGTTTGTGTGTGCTTTTTCATGTTGTAAATTTGTGTGTAATTGTTTGAGCACTTATTACTATTATTATTTATGTATTTTGTTGCTATTGTGCTGCAACAAAGCACTTATAAATTTGCGTGTGTATGGCTTTCTACTCAGTTATACTCAACAAAATGTGATTTTCTTTTGGGCTTCTGCATCTGGCAGTTGGAACTCGGATATTAGTTATAGTGTCATGTCCTCTATTTTCATTCTGATTAGGAAGGAATATAGGAACGAACAGTTAGGGTTGAGAATGCAACATTGATGGCATACGATTCATTTTGCTATTTCTTAAAATCAATATGCACGCCTATTCATATTGACTTGTTATTTTAAATAAATACGAGCAGAGAAATGCTAGTAGTTCACCATTTTACAATTGACACTCTTTTCAACACTCCTTTATTATTGGGTAAAATCTCATGTGGCCCTCATTAATAGAGTCGAGTGGGTGAAAGCAATGGAGAAATAGAGTGGCGTAAATCATTGGAGCCAAGCTAGGGGGATGAAATAAAGGAATGCTTTAGGTGAAATTTATGATGGAAAGGTGCCTCTAATGTCTATCTGTTGGGAAAAAAAAAAACCACAAAAGCTTAAGTGTTGTGGAGATGGGATTGCTGTGTTAGATCAATGGTCATATAATAAAAGATAAGATCATGAATGGGATGTATTAGACATAAGGTATGAGAGGCACATTGTGAGAATATTAATAGAAGCCATAATTAGTGTAATTAATCAGATGAAGGATAGCTCAAGAAAACGAGGTAGAGGAAGACCAAGAGAAACTTCCTATGAAACCATTATAAAAGATTTAAATTTAAATGACCTTTATGAAGAAGCTTTTTTTTTGCTAGAGGATAATTTAGTTAGTAGTGGCTACCCCTTCCCAAGGTCATGAATGCCTCCAACCTTAACAAGTGCTCATGTGTGTGAGGTGGTGGTGGGGCAGAGTCTTTAAAGATAACCCACCAACAACGGACAATAGCTATATTCAAGCCTAGCGTAAGTTGACACAGTCTAGCCTTAGTGGCTTACCAATACTGCCAACTATTGTTGGCCAAAGAGAATCAGTTTTGGACAAAACATAAATACATTGTGTGGTCCATGTTGTCCACCCACCTATTGGTAAAAAGCTTATTTGTTGACTCTTAAAAGCAAACTAAGCTTAACTCATTCTCACAAGTTAGTTCAAGGGAAGAAGATTACGTAAGCCATTTAAGGAGTATTTAACCATATTCTTAACCAGTGTAGGTCCTGCAGGACATCTTAACACTAACTCCTTGTACCAAGGAGTGAATATTTGGTGTGCGAAGTTTGTAGGACTTGACATTTGCGGTGACCTAATATTTAGAGACTGGAGAAACTTTGAAATCATATTAGAAACAAATTTTTCCTCACTCACTTTTAAAATCTTGTTCAAGAGAGGAGGATTGCCTAAGTCTTATATGAAATATTCTAACTATATTCTTAACAATTGGGAACATAACATTGACAAACATATCCATATATCTGTGTCAGTGTCCTTGCATGGAATTGTTTATATCTCCTTTATGATATTTATGATGTAATGATTGTCTAAGAAGTTATCATTCTGTTTTTAAAGAGTTCCGCTTGCTTGATGATCCTTAGTTTCTTTGTTTATAGAAACTGGTGCCTCTTGATTATGTTTAATAAATATTTTTGCTGGATAATTGCAGATCATTTTAATGAGGAAGCTTTTTTGCATATATAATTGAGAAAATGGTGCTGGTATTAGTTTATTACATGTTTGAGTGGTTGATTATTACCTCATAGAAGTTAATACCTAATAGCAAATAAGTAAATTTTGACTCTATGGAAGACTATAATTTTGTTGTTGGGCAAGAGTTCCCTGATGTGAAGGCATTCCGGAATGCAATTAAAGAAGCTGCTATTGCACAGCATTTTGAGCTTCGGACTATTAAAAGTGACTTGATTCGCTACTTTGCTAAGTGTGCCTCAGATGGCTGTCCATGGCGGATTCGTGCTGTCAAACTCCCTAATGCTCCAACCTTTACAATTAGAAGTATTGATGGGACGCATACATGTGGGAGAAATGCACACAATGGGCACCAGCAGGCATCTGTTGATTGGATTGTGAGTTTCATAGAAGAAAGGTTGCGAGATAACATCAATTATAAACCAAAAGATATATTACATGACATCCATAAACAATATGGTATAACCATACCATACAAGCAAGCTTGGCGTGCAAAGGAGCGAGGCCTCGCAGCGATATATGGCTCTTCTGAAGAAGGATATTACCTACTTCCTTCGTACTGTGAACAAATAAGGAAAACAAATCCTGGAAGTGTTGCAGAGGTATTTACCAATGGTGCAGATAACCGTTTTCAGAGACTTTTTGTTTCCTTCTATGCATCAATTTATGGTTTTGTTAATGGTTGTTTGCCAATTATTGGACTTGGAGGAATCCAGCTGAAAAGTAAATACCTTAGCACATTGCTTTCAGCAACTTCATTTGATGGTGATGGTGGGTTGTTTCCACTTGCTTTAGGTGTTGTTGATGTAGAAAATGATGAAAGCTGGAAATGGTTCCTGTCTGAGTTGCAGAAGGTATTGGAGGCAAATACTGAATGCTTGCCAGAGATAATATTTTTGTCAGATGGGCAACAGGGTATTACGGATGCAGTAAGAAGGAAGTTCCCAGGTTCTTCTCATGCATTTTGCATGCGTTATTTAACTGAAAGCATTGGCAAAGAGTTCAAGAATTCTAGGCTTGTCCATCTTTTGTGGAAGGCTGCATATGCCACCACAACCATTGCATTTAAAGAAAAAATGGCTGAAATAGAGGAGGTCTCTCCTGAAGCTGCTAAATGGTTGCAACAATTTCATCCTTCTCAATGGGCCCTAGTATATTTTAAAGGGACACGATTTGGCCATCTATCCTCTAATATTGAGGAGTTCACTAAATGGATTCTTGAAGCTCGGGAGCTACCAATTATCCAGGTGATTGAGCAGATTCATGGCAAACTTAAAACTGAGTTTGATGACAGGCGTTTAAAAAGCAGCTCTTGGTGCTCTGTGCTTTCCCCATCTGCGGAGAGGCAAATGGCTGAAGCCATTAACCATGCATCTACTTATCAAGTCCTTAGATCAGATGAAGTAGAGTTTGAGGTTCTTTCAGCTGATCGATCAGATATTGTAAATATTGGCAGCCATAGCTGTTCCTGCCGTGATTGGCAGCTAAACGGGATTCCATGTTCCCATGCTGTTGCTGCTCTCATCTCATGCCGTAAGGATGTGTACGGATTTGCAGAGAAGTGTTTTACTGCTGCAAGTTATAGGGATACCTATGCTGAGGGTATACATCCCATCCCAGGAAAACTTGAATGGAGAAAAACAGACAAGTCTACCACGGATGATAATATCATAGTTGTACGGCCACCAAAATTACGGCGACCACCTGGACGCCCCGAAAAACGGGTGTGTATGGAGGAACTTAATCGTGAGAAACACACAGTGCATTGTAGTCGATGTAATCAAACTGGACATTACAAGAGAACTTGCAAAGCAGAGACAATTAATAGAATAGAACAGTTTTAGTTGTCTAATTTTGTACTATATAGTTCAGTAAAGAACGAGTTTATTAGCATCCTAGAGACCCTATGCTTAGGACATAGGTATGATTTAGATCATGTAAGATAGGTATATATCACTGTACTAAATCCGCAGGTGTAACAGAAATGAAGTTTTGAACATTGGCAGGTTTGTAATTAAAAGCTATGGAGTGTTTGAACCATGGCTTTAGGGGGAGAAAAAAGGGTAAAAAAGATCCCCAGATGTAATGTTATCTTTAGTGTTCCCCTGCAAAATCTAATCTCGTGTGTTTTAAACAAGAGGTTCATTCACAGTTAGTTGCCCAGTTGAATTTTTGTACATGGTTTTATCTCACTTTTGTATGGCATGTTTAGAGTTAAATTCTCTCGAGCATAGATTTATTCTAAGTAATATTCTCATGTTGATCCACGTTAGAGAAAATTACTAAAGAAGCACATACAAAGTAATAACAAATTTTTTTTAATGAAAATTACAAAATATGAATTGTAAAATAAACACAAAAAACTTATTAGTTTTGACTGAGGTGTGCAAAACACTGGACTTGAGAGTATTTCACCACCACAAGATTTTTTGAAGTTGCTTCTTACTAATACTATACTAGAAATAGGTGGATTGAGGAACAATTTTTAGAGTGCTCAAGGGAACAGGAACTAAGTAAAACAAAAACAGAATAATTAACTTATATATTTTAATTTTGCAAGATTGCAACCAATAATATTTATAATGGTCTAGTAAGTAATCTATTACCAATTTTATAAACGTCGCTGCTTTTTTTATATTTAAAGTCGAGAATACGTCTAGCATCACCAACAAATTTGAGAAAAGTAACCTTATCGAAAAAATATAGCAACATTTAAAAGCGTTACTAAGCTTTTTGATAATGTTACTAGTCGATTCACGCAAGAATTTTAGAACAATATAATAATCTATTATAACATTTCAATATTACTAATGTTAATTAGTTTGGAATATTCTTGTAATAAAAGATATTATAGGATGTCAATTTGGCGATGGGAGCATAGGTTACAGGATACTCATGCAACAATTGCCTCCATGGTTTGCGAGCGAACCCCTTTTTCTATTTCCGGAACGAAAAGTTTGGCTAAAATTGCTCGTGAATTGACAAGACCATATGCACTAACGAGTTGAGACTTGGAAGCATTATAACGGAAAATAGTCTACCCAAGTTGAATTGCTAAGGGGTTTGACATTTCCCACAGAAACAGAACATTTAACAAAGATTAACTCTTGAATAAACATAATTGATAATCCCTGTCATTACATCTAATCTGACCTCAAAGGAAAATCACTAGCATTATTTAAATAAGACAAGTCCAATAACGGATGATTAACTCTTGAAGCCAAATTTCTAAATTCACTTGTATAGCTGCTTGAACCTTCTACATGCCTCCAAGATATTTTCCCTGTGACCAAAGGCACTAACCCTGATAAATCCTTCACCACCAGGTCCAAAACCACTACCAGGAGTTGTAACCACATGAGTCTTTTCAAGAATCTCACTGAACACATCCCATGAACTTTGGCCAGGAAAATGGACCCACACATATGGTGCACTTTTCCCTCCATAGACTTTAAACCCAAGTGAATCAAATGTCTCCACTATTATGCTAGTGTTCTCTTTGTAGAATCCAATAACATCTCTCATAGCCTGCATTCATGCAGCATTCCTATTTGGTAAATAGTCCTTTGAAAAATATGTCAAATAAATGATTAAAGAAATTCACATCATAGCCCACAAATTGTCCACCTCCTCGTCAAAGATTAGCAATTAAGTTTAGTAGCAGTGAAAGCAGATGTAATGGGCAAATTCTTAATAAATTCAATATTTAACAACACCATAATAGTAGGAGTTGCAGAAGCATCAGAGGTATATGACATTAGAGACGGTGAACCTTTTTGCTTGAGAGGGGGAGGAAAAAGGGGCGGAATAAGAGACGTCTCTTTCAATAATGTAGGGAAATTTTCTTTCTGTTCGATAAATTTTAGTAATAAAGCAAACTAACTGACCTTAAGGCCTTCTGGTGAAAGGCAAGCCAGACCACCTGCCTGGGATATATTTGATGCACCATTGAAACAAGTACATACAATTCGGTTGAAGTCCCTGGCAACAGGAAATCCATCAGAAAACAGCAACTGCTTTGGTACCACAGTCCAACCCAGTCGAACGCCAGTGAACCCAGCATACTTGCTAAATGATGAAGTCTCAATAGCAACCTGAAATTTGACATACGTCAAACACATTGATAGGCAACAGATACCCATGGTGTTCACTGAGGTATCAAGAACAGATTCCTAACACTTGGTGAGATGGCTGCTAATTTGAGTTTTTATATAAGAATAAATAATTTATACTATAGACATAGATGTTCAAACAACAATCAAGTCTTATCCCACTAAGTGAAGTCGAAGTCAGTTATGTGGACCATACAACATAAATGAACTGAATTAAAAACCATTTCTCTGATATATTATTTACACTAGATCTCTTCTAATAACGTCTTCTAAAGTTCTTCCAGGTCTCTCTTCTCTTTTTTATTGGACTAAAATTCATGTTATTTGCCCTTCTCACTAGTGTCTCTAGAGGCCTTCTTACATAAATGCTCAAAATTGAAAATAATTGCTCAAAATTCATTAGATAATCATAATTAACAAAAAAAAGGTCATAGGTTTTAAGCAAACCAGACAAGTAAATAACAATAAAAGTCAAGGAAATAAAATTCAGAAGACGAATTCATATTTCAAATACAAGACATCTTAAACATTAAACAAAAAGTGAGATGGATGTTGCACAGAGAAAAGAACAGAGGTTGAGGGTTTAGAGCAGAGGTGATTGAGAGTTCAAATTAGAGGAAAAAAAATGGAGGGTGGGTGTCACTAGAAATACTACTTCAAAAAGTGTGGGTGCCACAATAGATAGAAGAGTAGAAAACTAAATACAATTTGGGATTTTTAAAATTCTAGAAAGGGAGACAAAGTCTCAACTTTGCCCCTACCCCCCTCTCCCCTTCACCAAAAAAGAAAACTGTTTTGACAGCAAAACTGGGTTTTTCAAAAAGCCTCATTCTATCACCGCCACTCCCTCTGTTTTTGCTGCCATTGTTTGAAAGCACACTGCTACAAGGCGCTACTGAAAACTATGGAAGCAAGTACAAGAAGCAAAGAGTTTGACATGGCAATAGTGTATGGAAACGAAGAAATCAAATCTTCTCTGATGTACCATAGTGCAACTGAAAAGCTTCATCAGGTAGGCAAAAGATAAAATAACTCATGGATCATGCAGGAAACCAGATTTTCAGGGGATCAAACGACTGCCACAACCAAATCCAGAAGGCAAGGGACTTGTGAAATTAAAATGGCATAAACACAAGAAGTTAATTTCAAGTTCTAGCACCAGCCACATGTACTCATGTAATGTGGCAAATAATTTGTAACCAAGAAAAATTCACCAGATGCATTGAATTAAAAACTGTGTGCATCTAATAAATGCTAAGAATCATAGTCATAGTTAAGAGTGAACATAAATACCAGTCTATAAACATCAAATTAGCAGTAACAAACCAACCTCTTTGGCTCCAGGAATTTCAAAGATGGAGTGTGGGTTATCACCAGAAATATACATTGCATATGCCGAATCATATACTATTATAGACCCATTGTCCTTAGCAAACTGAACTAGTTGCGTCAGTTGCTCCCTTGTTGCTGCAGCACCAGTGGGATTGTTCGGCGAACAGAAAAATATTATATCTGGTCGAGAAATAGAAGACAAATCAGGGAAGAAACCATTTTCTGGATTACACCGCATGTATTCAATGTTTGCAAACTTCTCAACATCCTTCTGGTAGAAGCCAGTCTGGCCCATAATTACACTTGAGTCTACGTAGGCCTGCATATTAAATTGCAATTACTAACAGAGAATAGCTACAAGAAACTCTGGTGTTCCATCACTTTCCTATTTGTATTTACTATTTCATTTATATCAAAATTTATTTTCAAAAGAATCAACATAACTTGATTTTCAATATAGTCTTACAAAATTCAAAATAGTAAATTGTGAATGTCTACAAACAATCAACCCCAGTTTCAACACACTTTTATTACTCTAAAAAATAAGCCCCTGTGAAGAAAACACTGATTCATTCCAGCTTTATTCATAGTGAGTAGTAGATATGGAGTAACAATCAAGTATTCCACCAGAAAAAAAAATACAAACCAAATTTTCCTGTGTATTACATACACGATTGTTCAGACACCCCAAGTTAAATTTTACAAGTTGCAGCAAAACTGTTATAAAACTAACTATTAACTCTCTCAGATCAGATATGGACGGCATAACAATGTTCAGTAAATTTATACAAATAATCATAATATATTTTCATCAATCATTTAAAAAAAATCATGAAAAAAGGTTGAAACATTAATTGAAGACACAAATTGAAGTTTTCCATGCATTTACATATGTTCACTTGATACTTTTTTGAAACAATGGGCAGTCTTTTCATTCAAGGTTTGCTGAATATACTGAAAAAGCATTTCTTGAAAGATTAGAATGAAAAACATTCTTCTAAGTCCTCTTACTTTATATAAACAAAAGGTAGAAACTGGCTGATCCAACTTTTTTCTACCACATCAGAAAGCAGAAAGACTAATAAATGAACCAAAACCAGTCAGCATATTAAACAGTATATCAATAAGATGTAATAATTATTGCAAAACAGATTCACCAATTTTATTTTATTTTTTTGCATTTTGAACAAACGAATGCTGAAGCAATTGATGATAAGTTCATTTTAAACAACCACATAGAGATATATTACCGGGTATGATGGATCTTGCACGGCCATTTTTACATTTGACCCAAAAACAACCTGCCATTAAATGAAATTATAAGAAAATAATTAGTTCCACCATGAAAACCCTACCCAATTAACACACCCAGCACTTGTCCCCAGAAAGGAGAATATTTATAATCAAATCACAATAAGTGGTCCAGATAAAGAGCACAGTAGGCAGAAGAAGTGATTTAAATATATTTAAAAAAAATAAAAAACAAACCTGGAGACGGGATATATCACACTTTGCTCCATCTGAGACAAATATATCATCTTCCTCTATGCCAAGATCACTGTAAAATGTGGAAGCAATTGCCTTTCTTAATGGCTGCATAGAATAGAGATATCTCTCAATCTTCCAAGCATCATAAACTTTTAAGGAAAAAGTGGGCAAGAAACATTGAAGTTTGATCTGGTTAGACTAGAAATAACTACAATGTTTCAATGGTCAATCAAACCCTTTCAATCTTTATCTAATTGAATTCTCCCATGGGTGAACATTAACACCAATTGCCAGATTGAACTTAAGCAGTTTGCATCCCTCATTACAAAGACACTTTTCTTTATATATAATTACAAAGACATATTAACACCAATGGCCTGCCGATCCCAAAAAGCTATTGTGGGATGGCCATTATTCTGATGATTCCAATGTAAATGGTCTCATCGAAAAATGTGTAAAATTAGCTGGAAATAGTAAACAGTGCCAGATTTTGGCTGGAAAACAGCCAAAAATGCAGATGGGTTGCGTCAAAAATGAGTGGGTTTTGCTGAAGATGAAGACAACAACTGGAACTTGGCCAGAAAAGGTAACTCACACCAGATTTTGGCCAGAAAAAATTATCGGCCAGTGTGAAGCACACAGGATGAAGCAGGAGTTGTCAGAGATGGAGCACAGAGCACCTGGGGCCTGAATTTGAGGCTTCGAGCAATGTATAGAAGTTTGAATGCATCACATGCACAGAAAACAGTGATGTAAAAAGGGACGGGGAAAAATCCCAAAATTACCCACTTAAAAGCCTTCTATTGTTCAGAAAGGGCAGGTAAACTTGAATTTCACCCTGCATCAGATAGCAGCTGCGATTTTTCACTTTTGCGGCTGGCGGTTCGGGCAGCAATGCTCACTGCACAACCGCGACACTATTGCTTTGCATTATGGCAGGGAGCCGCTTTGCTCCACTGCAATAGTGCTGCTATCGTGCACTATTAGCTGCTATGTCTGAAAGCACTTGAAGATAATATATAAATTAAAAAGAACAAAACAAAATGATAAATAAAGCTACAAGGGGCACACTGGGTTTCTCAAAAGACAAGTAAACATAAGATGAATTACTTTTACAATTGATACCAAACAGTAATTGTTTGCCAGAATAAAGAGAAAGATAGATCTACTATAACCAGAGGTGGAAAACTGTATAACTGACCTCATATTTGATATTGGGGAACAGTAGACTATGGACGGATACAAAAATGAAATATGGAAAACAGGAAAAATCTCTTGAGGATGTCAATGCAGCCTACCTTTTCACCCTGTTCAGCTCCATAACCACTATATCCTTCTATGGTTGATAATGCATATGATCTCTGATTAAAAGGAAAAATAAAACATTTTCAAATGCTTGGTTAGCAACAGAATTAATAAAGTATTATTTATAAATTCACTTATTCAATAAAGAATATATATACCTACAAAATATTACATATTTATGATCAATAGATGTAAACTTAAACAGCTGCAAGTAGACACAAGGAATAATACAGATGAAAAAACAAAAGCTATTAAAAGAAAATCAATGTATGACATGTGGTATTAGGTTGAAATTCACCAGTAATCATAGAGCACCATCGTCTACAGCAGTCAGGAAAATGGCAATTGCTTTTAAAAAACAAATAAGACCATATTCTACTGTCCAAAATGGAAGAAATACCAGCTTTGCTCACACCAAAGTTCTACCTTTGCCATTGCAGAAGTTATGACTTCAGGAATGGGTTCAGTAGTATCGCCAATCCCAAGGCTTATTACTTTTGCATCAGGGTACTTCTGCAAGTGTGCAGACCTTCTTCTAGCAACCTATTTTTAGTAATAAAATTGCAAAAAATTGAAGATCAGTCATATAAAAAATTAACCTCAAAGTTGGAGCATGTGATAGAGGGAAAAGGATATACACATTCTTAACATATTGTGTATAAATAAAACAGAAGAAAGAAAAATAACACATATTCAGCTAATTCTATCTTATTTATCCTTGTTGAATTAGGTAAGAGAAGGAAATTTCAGGAGTAAAAATACTTTGTTATAACATCCCTTCTCCCTTATGAATACTTTTTGTTAAGAAATTTGGGTTTAACTCACTCCCCAAAACTAACTCATAAAAAGAGAACTACTCAAGTGTCAATAAGGAGTACTTTGTTTCTATTCCTAATCAATGTGAGACTGAATATCTGTGGGCTGCCCAACATTCAAATTGAATAGGTTTCAATATCATATTAAGAAACTTGAACCTAAGTCACTACCAAAATCTAGGTCATAGGAAGAGACTATCCTAATTCTTATAAGGAGTATTCTACCTCTATTCCTAGCCAATGTTGGACATTTTAACACTTCTGAACAAGTAATCACAAGCGTTCCTCTAAAAATTATATAATTAGTGACTTCCAAAGACATCATTTGTCACTGTTGCATGCATGGCTCCAAAAGAATATCTATTCTGATGAAATAGAAATTACTTGGCTTATCCACAGTCAAGATTAAAAGAAAAGATTGATCGCAAAAAAATGCAGTACTGAAGATGTTTATAAGTTTATCCTTCGTTTACTTAACTCATTTCTTTACCAAAAAAGATGTCAAATCATTCATCTTGAATAACAGGGAACCTGCTCAATACAATTCCAACCTACTTCAACGTGAAAGGCTGGACGAGAACATGGACACTATACCAACATCAAAAGGCCTTTTCCACTCTCTTGGATTAGACATGTACACTAGACACACGAAAATTTTACATAAAAGAATATTTTCGAAACAGAGCACACGAGGAAAAGAACATGTATGATGAAAGTAAACACTAGATAATCAAAACTCAAATGGAATGAGAAATGTATAATTGAGTCATCACCAAACAAATCAATAAGAGATTGGTTTTTTAACAAATACACGAAGAACAAGACCAGAAGCAGAAAGATCATGCAGCACTACATACCTCGGGAAAGAGATAGCCAGCTTGAAGTTTACCCATATTTGGATTGCGAGAGACCTTTGTCTTGTAGGCTTCAATGCAAAAAAAAAAAGGCAAAAAATATCTCTAATATTTAGTCAAATTGACAAACTTGCAAGCTCTTTTTTCAAGACTATATATCACTACAGAATCCCTTCCAACACACAATCTACTAAACTAAACAGCCCAGAAATGGTTATTAGGAATTTGATTTGATGAACTAGTCAACTACAACATTGCTTAAAGGAAGCCACTAACCAAAGCTATTGCCTATTGGATCAACCAGAGCTACGCACCCCAATATAACATTGCCCAATCACAAGAAGAATCATCATTTCCAAAACAAAAAGAGAAGAGTTCAGGTACCAGTCTCAGCTTCCTGTGGGGTCGCAACGCATTTGCAAATACTCACGTTCTTACTTGGCAATGACACCTGACTCCTGCAGCAGTCAAAAGAACCCACCAAAAAAATCAAAACTTTAAAGGGTAAACAGAAAAAAAATGCAATTTTGAATCCATAACTGTACAAAAGCAATTGCGGGTAGGATCCCATTTTTTGTTGGGAACCAAAGAGACAATAAGGAATGAAGTGAGATAGAAAGAAAAGTACCTTGAATTGAAGGTGGATGGAGCTAAGAAAGCAGAGGAAGAAGAAGATATTGAAGTAGCAAGGTTATGAGTAAGAGACATTTTGAATAGAAAATGAGTAGATTGAACCGTAGAGTCTACAAAGTAAGAGAATGCGTCAATTGAAACTCCAGAGCTGCGGCGTGGAGTATTACTGCTTTAAACCCTATTAATTGAAAGAGAGAGAGAGCGCGTCCCTATTAAAAAACCAATTTCAGGCTCAAAAATTATCGTAAGTGACACTGTTGTTTTATGAGTTTTGCAACTTATGTTTATGTTTCAAAATGGTGTGTTGTTCTGATTAAACTAATTCGGGCACGTGATGCACATCTTACAGTATTAGGATTTTTTCTTAATGATATGTTTGTTTATATTTTTTATAATCATTTTGTTTGTTTACATTTAAAAAGGAATGAAATAGGATGAATTAATCTTGTTTAATACTAGTTATTTTTATGTGCACAGACAAAATGTAAAAATTATTTAAATTTAAAATTTGGTAGATTTTAGTAAATTATATTTTAAATCTAAATAACATACAAAGATGCCTAATATATATAGTCAATGCAAGCCAATATTTTCGGAAATGGTTGTGGAATTTAATATAAATGTTTAAATAATGAACACTTTAGTTTTTGCTCGTGTTGATGTATGAATTGTATTATATTAGAAGTATATATCATGAATTACTTTTATAATACATCAATTACAGGTTATTTTACTAAAATACAATGGCAAGAAAAAGTATTTAAATACAATTATCATTGATAGATATTGATTGAAGAGAAATAGATGCAGCCAATGTGAGATAACTTTTAAAATATAAAAAGTTATATTTTTTATTAAAAAATTGTATTGATTCGTTTAAATGCAAAGCTGTTTTATTTTATAATCAATAGTAAATTTAGTTCATTTAAAATATAAAAATATCTTAATTCAACACAAAAGTTATAACAATTATAAAAATTTCATCTTATTTTATTTATTTACTACATTTAAATATTTATATAGAAAATTAGAACCTGAATACTGTTCTTATCATTTTTAAACAAAACTTAAAAAATTACAAATAAAATTTAAAACATGTGATATTTTTATAACTATTAATAAAATATAAGATACAAATAATTTTTTCTTAAAAGAAGTATTTTTTCTTCAAAATATTATATAAAACCAAAGAAATTGATGTAGGCATTGATTATTTCATCAAATTAAAATAAAAATAGAGTAAGACAGAGACAAATATTTTTTATTATTATTTAATATAGGCAATTGAATTTAACATTACAAGTTAACGTGTACTCTAAATCATATTTAATAATTTTTTCCTGTCTTGAAATTGTAACAAAATAATATAATAATAATAATAATAATTTATAAATTGGAAAAGACTGGCTTTCGTTATGGGCTGCTAGGTAACACTGCCGTAATGAACTTCTCGTGCTCCATGTGCTGGTTGAAGTGATATAGATCTAATTTTTTTAAGAATAAGATTTTAATTAAGTAAAAATTGTATTAAAAAATTAATTTTATTACGATATAAATATTTTTACTGTAATAATTTTTATAAAATATTATAATTTAGAAAAAAGTCTAACACAAGTGATATTTCTTTGAAGTTAATACAAGTGATTTAAAAGTATTAATTGAATAACATTTAATTTATTGTATTAATATTTTTAAATTATTTTTAAAAAGTGTACTATTTTTTTTACATTATAAAAATATTTTATTTCTTTAATCAATATCTTGTAACATCTGTAGAAAGAGGTAAAGAAAATGAGACAAGTGTCCATGAAGTCAGGGTATGCAGCTATTTAGGGCGGTCACGTATTCGCCCTTCAAATATGCGAAAGTCATGAAAAATAAAGATATAATCAACAGAGAGTAATTCGTTAAATAAAATTTTAGGTTGGAATTTTTACGTATGTAAAATTTTTTTAATAATAAAATTTTTCATTATATCTCGGGTCGAATTCGAATTAAATTGAATTAAAAAAATTATAAGTAATTATAAACATATTTATGATAAAATATTTTGATTAATTATAAAATTATTATAATTTTAAGGATTTATTTTTTAATCAGTCATAATCTCTCCTCACTTTCCACCTATATGAATCACCTAATCAATTATTCTGTAAAAACTTTGTTTATTAGTGCATGTTAGGGATTCATGACTGCATTGAATGAGCATTTTTTGAATAAATGCAATGATGTTTGTTAAATACAAAAACAATTAACCCTGTCAATCCCTTCATTTTTAACTTCATAATAAGGGTAGCTAAATCATCCTCCACTCTTGTGCTGGATACCTTCATTGGCATTGCATCACTTTTTAACGTCAATTTTCCTTTTCCTTTTCTTCCGAAAAAGAAGAACCTAAATCTTAGGGATAAAAAGAGACTAAAACTGCACGTGAATCAAATTAAAACCAAAAACTTTTAACTGCTATACTTTGAATCCAATCTACAACCACATGCCTATGGGGTCGGATCCTTTTCATTAAGATCAAACCTACTATGAGATGACCCACACAATCATCATCTTCTACATGATTAAGGAGGGGCACTTCAAGGAAATACTACAGGGTTATTCGCAGAATTAACATATACTCAAATGTTAACTTGTATTGAATAATTTTCGTCAAATAAATTACTGAGGCCACGAGAATGGATTGCTTTTAAACAAGATATATTTATCATTAAATTTTAATAAATTAAAATTATTATATGTTTTAATCAATCGTAAATATAACTTTAGTGTATATTAATTTAACTTTTCACTCACATAACTACTTTTAAATAATAATAAAAAATCTTTTTATATCAGTATAAGTCTAAAAATTCTTATATTTAATTTAAACTTTTTATTTAACTTAAATCTAATAGCTAATAAAATAATAAATTATAACTTATTAAATTTAAATTAAATAAAAGACTCAAATTAAATATAAAATTTTTTAAATTTACACCAGTGTAAAAAATTTTACCCAAATAATAATGAATCAATATCCAGTCCATTTCTATTAAATATTAATCATTATCACTTATATTATTTAATAACTTTCTATTAAATACAAAATTTAACTGTTAAATTATATTATCTTATCTTATATCAAATTTTATATAATTTAAACATTTATAAATATATTATTTAAAATTTAATATTTTTTTATTTAAAAACATATACGTTAAAATAAAATAATGCAAAATACTTATTATTTTGTTTAATAAAAACTTTTAACTAATAATTAAATTAATTAATTTTATAGACATTTAAGTGTTCATCCACATTTAGCGATCCAAACTCAAATAATATATCCATCATTCATGTTATTATACATTTTCTCTGTAGTCAAATTCATGAAATGCCGTTCATACTAAATACCAATACTATTACCTAATACATACGCAATCCATACAAGCAGCTATCAATTAAAAAAAAGATTTGCTGGCATGCTTCATGCCATATGACACACATTGATGTACATCTCAAAAGAAGGTTTGATCTATTAACAGCTGTCTTGTCCCTACACTTCACCAACGATAATGGTTTACACGTTCCAATCACATCTCAGATTCCAAAACTGCAGCTCTCACCCTAAACCGCAGTATCTAATTAATTATCTATAAGGTCCAAACCAAAAATATATGAACATGGAAGGTTTAATGGAAAAGCCAGTGTCATGAATCTTCAAAATGATGATCTGTCTCATCAAAGATTTCCTCCTACACGGAAATATTTACATTAGTAAAGCTTATACAAGTAAATAAGCTTGCTTTCTACCTTTAAGGTTCGATTGTTTTAAAGGTGAGTATAATTAATTTTGAATAGTTAAATGTAAATAAAACTGTAAGAGTTGTGTTAAAATCAATCTTGACCATGAATTTTTATTAGACGTATGTCTCTTTCGTTAGAAGTACAAAAGTGGATTTTGCAATTATATAACCAACAGATACCAAGAGTGAACAAGATTGTTCAGAATGACCGTTAATACCTGTAAAAGTTCTTCAATGACATCTTCCATCGTGATAATTCCTACAGCTTCTTCTTCTTCAGGGAGCTTTGGAAGGGGACTTCCATCAATCTCCAAAATATCCGAGTACATATTTTTTGACCATTTTCTGCTCCGAGAACCTCCCCTATTTGACTTGTTTGTATTTGGAAAGCTTTTCCACTTATGAAGTGGCATCTTGGGTTTCCCAACTTTCTCTTGGGGAGGCTTTTCACCATCAATATCTACCTTCACGTCTCTGACTGAGTCTATTTCAGAGGCATGAGAGACACAGGGCATTCGTTAAGAAAGATTTTTCAGTTTCAGTGAGAATCTAAATAAAATTTTGGCAAAAGAAAAGTTTCTCTAAATTGATTATATAGCATGTTCTTACCATTTGCATTGTTATTGGGAGTTTGTTGCTTCGTCTTGTCACACCGGCTCACAACAACAGCCATGTGGCTATGGCCCTTCTGGAACTCATTCAAAATGTCATAGAGTGGCATACTTTCTGGAACCCTGTCAATATGTGTTATTTTTAAATATGAATTTATGGTGACTTAATGGCCCCTAAGCACAAAATGAAACCAATGTGACTTTCCCCATCAAACTGACAAAACATATACAAGATACCTTGGAATCCTGCGTATGGTTACACTCTTCACGGGTGCTTCATCTTCTGGATGAACTGTCAATAAATTCTTGACCTAAAATTAAGGAGCATGCATTCAGAAAACAAAAGGTAGTATACAATCACACAAATAAAACCGTGAGAGAACATGGATTGAGCAAGCAGTACAAAAATGTATAGAGAAAAGAATAATGCAAAGGAATAGCAGTCTCATTGTACAAAATTTACAGACAAAGAAGTACGGAACACAATTACAGGGAAAAATGTCACAACAGGAAACAGAAATCAATCCTGTTGACGAGAGACCCACCAATATCACAACTCGGTTAACTGATAATGTCTTATAAAAACCAGAGAACAAGTGACTCAGATCCCTGATGATTTTGATCTCCCCAATTTTTGTGCTACAGCACTGTCACTAAAGCAACCTCTGATTTTAAATAGTCTGAAGTCTTAAGTGACATATATTCTTATTCTACTACATCAAAATTAACATGCAAAATTGTGGCTAATAGTTGATCACCAAATTACGGTTCTCAGTAATGTTATAAATGTCATAAGCCCTTAAAAGTGCTACTTGATGCCAGATAATGGAGTACCAAGGGCGTTTCATAGTTGATCAACATGCAGCAAGCAAGCACTTCAAAAAGTAGTTGGCTTACACAAACTCAAGAATGGCATGAATATCACAAGGCCTTATGAATGCAACCTTGAACCAGATAATTAAGTTCTGAGCTTGTTTTTTAAATTGAGTAAAACAGTAAGTGTATTTTCTTGCTCATCTCAATGGAAAGCTGAAATACCCAAGCTGAACATAAATTTTTGGTAATTTTTACTGCTGAACTGGCCTACAACCTAGGGCAAAGTTTACCCATTGAACCAAATATTCATTGCCACTTTCAACTATCAAATAAAATCAGAAACTTTGTTTCAATATCTTCTGCACTCTCAGTACTTTAGACCTGTAGCTTGGTCATTAGAATCTGATGGAGCTTACTGTAAATTCCGGCATTACTATATTCCAAACAACAGGAGAGCAAGAGATAAGATTTTATGCATAGCAACACTGCAACAGTATTCAAGCAGGTTAACTTAAATTAAAAATAAAAAGTATTTAAGGTTAACAGTCTCAAACGACCCTAATGGTTCTGTAAAGCCTAAGGAAGACACTATCATACTATCTTCTTAAGCCTAAGCTAGAAAGTTCATATATAGTTCCATTATCTGGAAGCAATACCTACATCATGGCTGTTGAAATGGTGATTCTTACATAAACAGACAACACACACAGAAAGAGAGAATCTGAAAGTGAAATTCTGAGTTTTATTGAATTCAATCTAATCTAAACACATAAGGAGGTGACACTTAAAGAGATGTTGAGCTGCAACAGCTTACAATGATTCAACATAAGCCTAACACATGATGTGACAGCTGACAACAGCTGTATAGTTAACAAATATAACTACTTAACTAGCTTCCTAATTGACTAAACACAGCGCATAGTACAGCAAGGCTTCTATACTCTAACAATGATATACAACTCACTACACTTATTTCTCTTCCCAATAACCCAACCCCTCTTGTATTACTCCACCAGCTAAATATTCAGTATGATTCAAAATGTGAGCAAAGTCTTCTGTAGCCTGATTTTCAACTTAAATTGTTCTATAATTTGTCAATTTCCCTAAAATACTGTTATTAATCATTTATATTGAAAGAAGTAAAGGTATTTGTAATTTTTTTTAACAATTAATATATTGATAAATTTGTGGGCCTTGAAATTCATTTTGGACAACTGAACCAGGCATGAATGAAACAAAGCAACTGTATCTATAGAGGAAAAAAATTATTATCTACACATATAGGGTGGGTTCTATGTAAGAAAATAAATTGAAATTAATTGAACTGTAGTTTTTACCAGTATTAGTCCAATAATGTTTGTAGGCTGCTCATAATAGACTGGGACTCTGCTATGCCCTTTCTCCAATATTTCATTCATTAGTTCCCTGCTTAGTAATAGGCATTTAATAATATGGATAAAATTTGTATATAAAAAAGTTAGCTTTCATTTATAAATTATAAAGTATACCTTAGCTTTCATTTATAAATTATAAAGTATACCTTACCTATCAAGCTTTGAATTAATATCAATAGCAAATGTTTCAGATATGGGAGTCATGGCATCACTGGCTGTCTTCTCACTGAGTTCAAGTGCCCCAGCAATGATCGTTGTTTCATCATGTGTTAATTCCCCACCTTTTCCAGCCTAATACAATCCAATCATACACAGAAACAAAAACACACAGAAGTATGAATGTTCAAGTGCAGGATTCCAAATAACCAGAAGAGAAGTAGATAAGATAGCCCTTAGTAACTTTTCAGATTTAAGATAAATTGCATATTTTCATTGAAAAAGAAAAGGTAGGGAAGAGTGACATGCTTATGAAATACATGGTACAGGTTTTCCACATAATTAGAAAATTACAAATACCGATAGATGCCTTTATTTCAACTAAAACAATCATATTGCTATGATACAGACCTCATTACCATGCAAGTCTACAAGTGTTTTCAACTCAGCTCTACGGAAAAGGGCTTCATGTCGATGACCAAGCAAAAAGTCCAACAACTGAAAACCATATAAATACACAAAAAGCAAATAGAGAAAAAAAAATCAGAACAAATTAAATTTGCTCCATGTTTACTCAAATAGAAGTAATATAAATTCTGCTAAACGTGTACCTTACTAATTGGAAAAGCAACTGGAAAACATATCCATACAAGCACGCGAACAAAGGGAGCCACTGATGCACCAATTGCCAAACCATACCGCGAACAAACTGATTGGGGTATAATCTTCACAAATGTAGATACATGTCAGAGGACTTTCACAGGCAACACCAAGTAATTGAACAATAATATATTCACATAAAATATTAGACAGATAAATATCTGCCACATGTGCATCAATCCGAAGGGTTAGAATCGGCATTCAACAGGACCCTACTAAGGGTATCATCAGAAAGTTGATTGAAAAATGAACACTGGCAAGTAGAAAGTCAGATTAACAAAGTTAACAACTTCTCATGATTGAAATTAACTTATTTACTGATAAATAAATCATGATTGAAGATAAATTTCTCATTCCATATTTATCAGGTCAAAAGTGATAAACCATCCTCAAAGAGCAAGGTGAGGAGGATGAGACAAGCTTTTGGTGTATGCTTGTTTTAAAATTTGGTAGAATTAATTGTGTTTTGAAATAATATTTCAAAATTGAGTTTAAAAGGATTGTTTTGCTTGGATAAAGTAAAATCACAGTTAGGAATAAAATTACTAAAAGTAAACATTAAATTTTATATTAAGGATAAAGTTATATTCATTACATTAACTGGTAAAAGTGTTGTCTTTTGCCAAATGTGATGTTAGAGATATGAGAAGTTACTATTACTCACTTCCACTAGAATTGATTCTAATGGAAAGTTATTAGAATTGATTCTAATGGACGGAACATGTCTTATTCAAACCAGAAAAGAATAAATAAATAAACCAAACAAAATGGATGCTGTAATACCGGATTTTTATTGCTGCACTATTCCCTTGTCTAACAAACAGGAACTTAATCTATGACATGCATGTAGTATTTTATTTTAAATATAAAAGGACAGAATTTTCTCACCTCTCCGAACAGAAGAATCAATGTCACTGAAATCAGGATAGCACCCCATGCAGTAACAAGACCATCAAGAAAAATAGGAAGTGCCTGAAAAAAGCACCAACCATTTTGAATATGAAATCCATGTGACAATACGAAGACCAGTAGATAATTTTAGTTGTACCTCCATGGCCGCAGCATTGCAAATTAGCAAGGTGCAAAGCAATAAATGCTGGTTCTTGACAACAGGCAATATCTTCTCTGCAAGGACAAAACATAAGTTCAAACGAGTAAATAATCAATAATTGTATAATTTCCAAAACAAAAGAAGCAATCGTGTTCTTCCCATTTCTACAATGTCAAAGGTCTCTTCTACAAGGGATAATATTCAGCTAGAGTTACTCAGAAGCTAACAGGAGCTTGGGTTCCATAACATCAACCCAACCCACAGCCCTTGTTTTTATGGCCATTCAAAAATTCCCAAATATCTCCAGAACGGCTTTTATTTTTGTTTATTTTTCAATAAACTGAAGAATAAAACTACAAATCAACAACTGCACTTAATTTATCTCCTTTCTTGTTTATTATTTTCCTCAAATCCCAAAAGGGATAAAATATTGATGCGACCAAATGAGCCATTAGACAGAGTTATCTTAACCAACTGGGGAAGAATTTAACTCAAAAACAAATAAATAAACAAAAAACTACACAATCAGATTTTATTTTTTTTATAATTCCCGGTAAAATAAAGAATAGTAAGTTTCGCAAAACTGATATTTCTTCCATGCGATTTCTGAAATTACACTTACACACTCTCTCAGCCCGCACTCCTTCTAGTGCTTGAAACACGAGTGAAAGAGAGAGAGAGAGAGAGAGAGAGAGAGAGAGAGAGAGAGAGAATAGTTAGGAATAACATACCAGCATGCTTACGATCCTGAGGAGTACCAGACTTAGCGAGAACCTCAAGATCAACGAGGCTCAACGACATAAGGCCCAAAGTGAGGCCCGACATCAAGCCCGCGAATATGACCAGCAGCACGATCACGACTATGTGCACGAAGAACCCCGATTCGCAGCATGAATACTCCACCGCCATTCACTCTCCCTCCCTTTCTCTATTCCACCTCTACTCGTTTGTTAATGTTGAGTGTTGTGCTCCGTCAGAGAAAGCACATCCACCACAGCTTCACCATCTCCATTCTCTGTTTGGGCAGAACAACCAAGAACCATGTGGAGTTGCGGTGGAAAGAAATATAAAGCACATGAAGCTCCATTTATTTATTTATTATTTATTCAATATTTATACTATTATTTATTTATTTATTATTGCGAATTGAGATGTAAAAGGAAAATAGAGTTAGAGAGAGGTCTCGTAGTTGGATTCGGTGGAAAGTGGCGGTTGAGTTGTTTTGTGTCCAAATGAAGACAGCATCGCCAAATCTCTCATACTTTTCGCTACCAAATAACATGCTGAATCATAAAAATGAGAAATTAGAAAATTATATTTTTTAAGAGTTAACTTAGTTTCCAAATTTATCTTTATTTTTTAAAAATTAACATAAAGCCAATTCTTTCGGTAACTGCAAAATCAGTCAACGTGTCGCTTGTATTTTCGTCTGTTGAGCAAAACGGAGCTGATAAGAATTAAACAATGGATATAAATTATTAGACGTGTTTAATAATTTTTTTTTTCAATTTTCATAGAGCATCGATTTTAATGCACCGAAACTTTAATTTATAAAAACAATTTCGTTTGAACTATAAGTATTTATATATGATAAAATTAATTCTTTTAATATTTTTTAATATATAAAATTTAAAATTTAAATGATATTTAAGAAAAATGAAATATATATTATTTGGATTAACTATCCATTCATATTTTATCTTAATTCGTTGACATGTATGATTATACGCTGTTGTTTGTTGGGTACTGAGGCAATATACTCTTAGTAAGAATATGCCCAAAACACAGCAGTTAGACTCAAAAGCGAAAGGGGTTTCGCGGATAAAAGACAAAATTGATTTGATAATAGGACATCCCATGCAACTGCAAGTGGGTGGTGGGTTTACTTGAATAAGAGGGGACCAACGGCAATTTTAGGTTTAAACATATTTTAAGTTTATAAATATGATTAATTAGTTTAGTTTTATAAAAATATTTGTACTAGCTTTGTTTTTAAAAATTATCAAACTTAAATTACTTCCTATAATCATAACATTTTTTTATAAATTTTTAAAATAATTGTCAAAATTTAGCAATTATATTTTTACTAAATAAGAATTTAATCTCTAAAGTTAATTATGTTTTTTAATTAAATAATAAATTAGATAATTAAAATTTATTTTATCATTGTCACATTATTTAATATTTTATTGTTTAAAATTAATATTTGTAATAAATTTTTAAATATATTTTAAATATTTATAAAAAAAATAAACTTTATTCAAAATTTATTTGTAAATATTTAAAATATGTTTAAAATTTAATTTGTAGGTATTAATTTTAAATAAAAATATTTTAAATAATTAAATGATGTAATAATAATAACTAAATTTTTGTTATTTAACTTATTACGTAATAAAATATAATTAACAATAGGAACTAAATTTTTTACACTGTAAAAATGTTAAGAGTAAGTCGTGTTACTTTTATAAAGAAAAATAATATAATTAAAGCAAAATTTTAAAATGTTCTATGTTATTATTTTGTAATGATTTGTTAATGCTTTAAAGTGATAAATGACATAAATTTCTTGAATATATGTGGTTTTATTAATAAATAGTAAAAATAATTAATTTTGAAAATTTATAAAGATCAAAATTAATACTCTTTAAAATATTAAAATTAAATTTGGTCATAATATGCATATAAATTTGTATAAGACTAAAGGGTAGTTTTAGTGTCGCTATTATCGAAAAATTACAGCAGTCTGAATTCTAGTTTATGTTGTGTGTACGCAGATTGAACGAAAACTTTATAGTGATAATATATTTGGATTCAATTGCATGCAGAAATTTTACTTGGCTTTGGTTAAAAGTTGATTAATTAATGTGATTTATCACTTATATAATGACTTTTTGAATAAATTTACGTGAACTTTTAATGTAAGTTAGGTCATATTCAAGACTATTGGATCCTTGTTCTAAATTAATACCAACAAGTTAGGTAAGTTGTTTGTGGTCAAGGATTTTTTGAAGTTGAATATTCTACCTTTGATTAATTGAGTATTGATCTTTTAACACATTTTGACTTCACCCAAGCTATAACTTCTTAACTAAATCTAAGTTTTAAAACTTATACTGATTTAAATCACACTTCGGTTGACATAACTTAGAATCAGTTTAAGCAAACATTTCAACAAATACTTGTAAGATAAGAAAAAATAAAATGAATAATTTTTTTTTGTATATTAAAGTTACTTTTTCATCTCAACTTTTTAGAGAAACTCTCTTATAATATTTTCATAAGTATTTATGAAAATTATTAAAATGTGGCATTTATTTTGTCTTAAGAGAGTCTAACAACAAGGTCATACAATTAAATAGTGACGTGAATACTCAAATTTGATAGGGACCCTGAAAAATTAAACATAAAATAAAAATTTTAAAATTATATTTCAAAAAAAAAAAAAAGAGCGGCGAATATGACTTATAAAAGAGGAACTTATCAATAATTTGATTTCTATATAAAAATTGTTGGAAAAAACTCATATTTCTCTTGAAGACTTTTAATCTGAGACAGGGAAATAAGTTAACAACAAAAGTAATTATAACTTTTTATTATAGTAATTTGTCATAATATATATATATATATATATATGTATATATATAATCAAATTAAAAAATATATTGATTTAGCTTATAGACATGTATATTTAGAAGTGCACTAATATTTTAAATGTTCGAATAAAACATTTATGTTTAGTACATGGATATAATGTTATATATTTGATTAAAATGCTTCAATTTTATTATACCTTGATTTTTCTTCCGTCGATGTTGAAATACGTTGTCTTAACTACTTAACTTTTTGCTTACGTGTTTGATATTTAAAAAAATAGGTGATTAAAAAGCTTACGATTTATAAGAAACAAAAACAAACTTTGCTTTTCCTCTGCTACCTTCCAAAGAAGATATATATATAAACTATATAATAGTTAGTGGCTTAGGGTGCTAACGATTCATTATTGTATAAAATTACTACGTGACATGTACAAGGTTTAGAAAAGGAAAGTCGTATTTAATTTATCATTAATCGCCTCCATTTTTGGCACATCACGAAAAAAGACATAGCATGCTTGGCTGAACAAAAATGGATGTTTTGGAATATTATTTCTCAATTGTGAGGTGTTGCATTTGCATAGCAGTATTGGCTAACGTCACTAGGCAACATATTTGTATATTGGGTCATAATAATATGGCCTTTCACTTCCCATGGCCATAGATGATGATGCATTTAATAGGAGTTAGAAATGAATGGTGTATTTGGTAGTGAGCCTTTCAAACTACTCGAGAGTCATTTTTGCCTTTGCTCACTTGACTCTTCCTTAGAGCTCCCTAAACAAATCCATCTTAAACAATTACATTATGATTCGAGGATTTTAATTCAGCAAGGTATCTTGGGGAGAGCAATGAAAAGAACCAAGAAAAGTGGAAAATCACAAGGAGAAAGCTAATAATACACTCTTTAGCAATTTTTTATTATTGACTGCATTTTATTAAAAAATATAAAAAATATTAATTTAAAAGTAAAAAAAATGAGAGTAACATAATTTGTGTAATTTTTAATAAATTTTAATTAATATTAAAGTGTATATTATAAAGAGTATGTTGCAAATATTACTCAAACCATAAAAAAAATATAAATGGATGGATAAAAATGAAATGTCACTTAAATCATTTTATGTTATAGAATTTATATTACTTTCACGTAAATATCAGCAAATAGTAATTAATTCTTTTAATAAATTTTAATAATATTGAAGATAAAAAACTAATAATAAAATTTTATTAAAAAAATAAATATTTATAATATTTTTATAACTTTAATATAATAACTATGTATTTTTTTATAAAAAATTTTAATTTGTGAATGCTTAAACTTAACTTTAAAGATTGAAGTTAATACAATTATTTTTTAATTAATATATATTTTTTAATACACAAAATGTAATTTACAGTCTATTTTCAATTAAGTAAAAGCAAATTATAGAAAAAAATGTAAAATTTATTTAAGTAAATCTGCGAGTTCTTTGATAACTTCATCCAACCAATGTCTCATCTCTTTCAAACAATCCTTCATCCTTTTGAGCCTCAGACCATGATTAACAATATGCAAAGGAGTTAAAGTTTGAATCTTTTTTGGGTTTGGAATGATGGGTTTTGTTTCTTTGTGGGATGTGCTTGTAGAGGCTTGGAAAGATGAAAGATCATTTGAAAAAGATGAGGTAGCGGTGGAATGAAGCTATCAAAAAGAAAGAAGAAGAAAGAAGAGTACTCCAAAATTTGTCTGTTTTTTACATTATTTTTACATAATTCACTCAAGTAAAAATAAATTACAGATTATGTCAAAACTATAGAATATCTTTATCTACGTTGCTATTGAGATGCATATATCTTCAAAAATCACTCTAAATAATTTCACATAGAATAAAGTCTTCATGAGATGTCCATGGATAAATTTAATTGAATAAGCTGTGAAATATGAATACTAAACGTATAAATTTAATCTTTTATAATATATTCTTTCCTTTTTAAATTTTTCTATTTTTTTAAAGATTAGTTACTATAATTCTTGCTAAATTAAATAATGTGTTAGTGAAACAATAAGAACATGCTTAATTTCTTTTCTAAAAACAATTTTTTTAAAATCAAACACGCTATAAATATTCAATATCAAATTCCATAAATTCATTAGATGGCTGCATTATTTTTATAACAGAGGATGATTGTTATCCTAAAGAGATCAAAATGATGCATATCTTTACACGTTTATCATGGCATCAATTTTTAAATGTAAATATTACATCACGAAAAATTTAACATTTTTAATATTTGAGATTCGACGTTATGGAACCAGAAAAACTATTTTAATTAATTGGATTTGGATATTTTTTAGTAGAGAAGCAAATCGGTGGCACTTTCAGTCCAATTAAGCTCAGTTCGGGCAAAATCTTGAACTCTGTATAAAATGCAATTCAATAGCATACAAACGTAACAGAAATAAAAATCAATGTATATCCAACAAGGCTTTAGATTTATATAACCCAACAAACAAAGTAACCCCACAGAGAAGCTTATAAATAATTGATTATGATCATTGAAACAGTGATTAAGAGCACTGATGTGATGCCCATTTCCATGTTTCCGCATCTTTCTACCTATTTCCGTGTTTAAACAATGCAAAGTTTATTCATTTTACGTTCGAACTTACTTGTGATTAAGTTTCATCGTAATTTTTTGTGCTGGAAGAAATAAAATTTCTCTAAATTATAATATTTTTTTTCCTGGAGACTCTCTGATTCAAGTTTGTTTGAATTATTTTGATTGGAAACAAACATTTATGTTTAATTTTGACTAGATTTTGTATAATAACGCCTTTAGAAAGATTTTTACTTTTTGAAAAGTTTTCAGAAAATTATGATAGTTAAAGAAACACTGTTTTTAATAGAAAAAGGAAGTGACGTTTTTCAACTATTTTCAACAATTTTTCATACAAGATGATGATTAAAAAAACATAAAATTTTAATTAAAGTAAGGATAAATGAAATTTCAGTTGAGAAATGATGTTTTTGACTAGTTTTTACAGTAAATTTGTGATAAGAAATATGATTTTTAGTCAAAAGTGAGGTTTTAATAAGTTTTTAGCAGATTTATGGATAATTTGCAGATAAAATTATAATATACATAAATGTCACAATTTAATAAAAAAAATATGTTTCGAGATGTTTCTTAAAAATATTTATTATTTATTATTTATTAAAGTTAATAATTGGTCGAGACTATTTTATTTAAAAAAATTGAATCAAATTTTTTAAATAAAAAATCTCAAATACAAAAACTTAAAAAAAAAATAAAAAGATTTATATCAAAATATCAAATGCATTAAAAACAATTATAAAAAACTATATATAAAAGCAAGCACGACATGAATAATGGGAAATACACAATAGTAGTTATAATAAACCTTGTAGGCAATTATATAATAAAATATATTTATTATGTTATATTTATCTTTAAATAAGATTTCAAATCCTAGTTTAAGAATTACAATTATTTTACTTAAACATTCGTACAGTCATATTCAAAATTTTATACGTTACATACATATGACAGAAAAGGAAATAGTTCAGTGTTAATGATTGTTAAAAGTTTTACATTTATTTTAATTACAATTTACTTTCAATGCAATTGTTTTCTTTAATTTTTCATTGCTTTTACTTACTTTATTATGGTTTTACTTTTCTTATTTCTATGAGATTCTCTTTTTTCTCTTTCTATTTTTATTTTACCTTTTTTTTTCTGCGATGTTGTTAATTAATTTTGCTTAACAACATACTTTAAATAACTGTTTAAGAAGATATAAAATTTAATACTAAATTATTCTTAAATTTATTTGTTTATCCAAAAATTAAATAACTATATATCATCATTTAAATATATATGCAGGTTTACGTACAATAGAAGAATTTTGACATTTCACGTAGTTATCATAAAAATTAATTAAACTTTTTCAATAATTTATGAAGATGTCAACACATTATAACATGGCGTTGGTGGATTCTTTATTCCTTTCTTTTGTTTTTGTGGGTAATGGTCAAAACTCAAATCCCCAGAATTGAGGTCTGCTTCTCAACCTGATAAGGATATAAATCGTTTATTGTATGCATGGTGACTTCCATTGTCATGGTTTTAAATTTTAAATGAAAAAATAAACTAGGAAGGAGAGGGTTACAGAAAAAGGTAAAGAAAAATTGGACCTGCTGACTATTGATGAAAAAAGCATTTTAATAATTGATGCGTGCCTAAATAGAGACCAATCATGCTTTATCTTTCTGATTAGGTTAATTTACTCTATTATCGTGGGCATACATGATTGATCTAATTCAATTTGAATGCTTCTTTAAAGAGACCTTCATATGAAAAAACAATTGTTATTTTTTTCCTTTCTGTTCAAACCTTGTGGCACCAGATTGCTAAATTCACCAGATCTAGGAGGTGATTTCTTATTCATTCATTTGCTTTATCTTATTCTCTTGAATTTGTTTGAAAATGTCCCAAAACAACTTTTATAGAGTGTGTGCTGACATAATTTTTATAAGAGCATAGAAATTGAAAGGGCCATCCTTGAAATTCATCCTCCATGAGCCCATTTATGATCATATGTGCGTTTAGTTTATATTTGAAATATATTTAAATAGATGCTACAACTAATAGCATCAGAATCAACTTCAATTCATAATTATTTAAAAGTGAAATGTTTATAAGACTTTTACGTATCAATGAAATAAACTTGTGGAGCCTTTTCTCTATCTTCCCGACATCTCCAACACCATTGATGGTTCCGATGGGTTGCTTGTTCATTAATCTCGACACCAAAAAAGAAATCTTAAGATAAATAAAAAATGTTACCAGCAAATTATGTAACAAAAAATAATTATATTTTGGTTTAATTATTTTGTTAGTTCTGAGCTCTTTGAAAGTTATAAATAAGTCTTTTTACTTTAAAAGTTTATAAAATTTTAAATCATTTTTAATTAGATTTTTGTTTACATCTTTGTTAAAGCTCTATTAAGTACAAAGAACTAATTACAAATTTTTAACTATCTAGAGACCAAGTCAAGGGTTTAATTATTCAATAAATTATTGAACTGCGTGAAAATCTATCACTAGATTCTTATACATAGGGGAACAGTAACAAAAATGTAGCCGAGACTAAAAATTTAAACATTTTAAATGAAGTATATTAACTTATTTATATAATTTTGAAAACTTCAAGGATTTATAAGATAATTTAACCTTCTATTTTTATTTGCATCTCTTTTCTATATATTTTATTTACATTTGTTCATTTCTTTATTTTTTTTTACTTTATAAAATTTAATTTTAATATATTATGAATGAATTCTTTTTATATTATTAACTAATTAAAAACTATCATACATATTACTTATAAAGTAATAACTATAAAAAAATTGTCCATTTAATATATTCCAATTAAATTCTACTGTATATCCTATCATTTATTATATTTCAAAAATTTTCGACTTTTAAAATTGTTGTTATCTGTATATCTCTATTTTACACACATTAATGGCATGAGAAAGAGAGAACTATTCACAAAAATGGGAAGTTATTTTTTGATATTTCATTTTGATATCAAATAAGTGGAAGAAAAAATTAATTGATAATGTGTAAAAATATATAAAAAGTGGACAAATATAACAGTTGGAGAAAAAGAAGTTATAAACAGGGAAGAAATTGAACATGCAGAGGTCATAGATTAAAATCAAGGAAAATAGAAGAGAATAGGAGGAGCAGTCTCATCTGGCATGGCCACAACCTCAAGAGAAGCGAACCTGCAAAGCGCAAAGAAGAAAGTTCCTCTCTTTCCCCTTCTCTCTCTTCTCTGCTTCACTTCCATCTTCATCATTCTCTCTCTGTTCAAAAACACTTCAACCCCTTCTTCCTCACACTCCCTTCGCACCTTCCAAATCAACGCCGGCGCTTCCTGCGACTATTCCCACGGAACATGGATCTACGACCCCACCACTACTCCCAGATACGACAACACCTGCAAGGAGATCTTCAAGGGCTGGAATTGCATCTCCGCCAACAAATCCAATGCCCCACAACTCGCCACGTGGCGATGGAACCCCCACAACTGCGATCTCCCTCACTTCGATCCCGTTAAGTTCCTTCGCACTTACGCGCACACCAGCATTGGTACTCTCTCTTTCATTTTGATTTGGCCTTCAAAGTTGTGTGCTTTTTGGGATTCTTAATAATGGGTGTTCAGCAGTGCAGGGTTTGTTGGGGATTCGTTGAACAGAAACATGTTTGTGTCTCTTTTCTGTACTCTTAAGAGCGTTTCCAATGGACAAGTGAAGAAGTGGCGACCCGCTGGTGCTGATCGTGGATTCACCTTTCTTGCTTACAATCTCACCATTGCCTATCACCGTACAAATCTTCTCGCTCGTTATGGTAGGTAAGCTTGCGGTTTTCTTATTCTTATGATTGTCTTCGTGCAAATTCTCTTGTGGGTTTTGTTTCAAATGACCTGTTGTTACTCTATATGAGTACATTGATTGCAGAGTTTTTATGTATGTACAAGTGTATAAGCACGTATTCTAGCTTTTTCAGTTTGTTATTATTTGTTGGAATGTCATGGTTTTTCTTATTTGCTGTTGTAATTAGACTATATGGTGTTGTTTGTTACACATTGTTAACAATTTTTGCTATTCTGTTTGATGCAGATGGTCAGCTGGTGATAATGGGGGTGCCTTAGGAACTTTTGGATTCAGAGAGGGCTTTAGAGTTGATGTTGATGTTCCAGAAAGCACATGGGCACGAGCTCCAAGTTTCCATGATATTCTAATTTTTAACACCGGGCACTGGTAATTATATGAGTTGATGTTTCTTTGTTCTGTCAGTGGATCATGCATTCTCGCGGCTTTCCTTTTTAGTTGTTGATATTGGAAATTATGAGCGGGACCTATCTTTGTATCCTAGGATTTTGATTGATTGGAATGTCTTCTTGTTGGTGCATTTACTTGAGAGTTGAGATTTCAATTTCCTCAAAGGGTTGCCAGGCTTCAGTTGTATTTTAGTCAGTTTTCTGATCTGGTTTCATTAGTATCCTTGACTTTATTTGTTTAAATCAATACAATTAATTCCTTTTGCTTATCTACTTGCTTGTTATTTTCGTTTGTTTGAGTTCAGTTGATGCTAGAGTTGTTACTGGTTATTGGACAATTGGAGAAAACTGTTGAGTTTTGTTATTTGGTTTAAGCATATTGATAATGTCTTTTACTCCTAGTTCATTTCCCTTTGTATAAGCTGATTTTGTAGCTTTTCTTTGCAAAATTTTGAGAAAGTATGAGAGGATTTTAATTTGGTTTACTGTGGTTACTGGGTTTGTTGTATAAATAGGTGGTGGGCACCTTCAAAATTTGACCCTGGGAAGTCACCTATGCTTTTCTTCAAGAATGGTGAACCAGTAATCCCTCCATTACGTCCAGATCAAGGCCTGGATATGGTTTTGAAGCACATGGTAATGTCTTTTCTTTCTATTCCTCTTTAATGGTAGGAAATAAAAAATTATGTAATATAACCTGTAGCTCTGAGGTTAGCCTATGGAGTATGAAACACTTATCATGTACAAGGTAGTTAAATTTAAATCATAAAGGAGAGTGAAAACCGTAAATTGTAAAATCGTAAATCGAATTGTAAGATTTTATAAAATTCATATATATGATATAAATTCATATTATTCATATAAAATATCATAAATTAAGGGAAAAAAACCTTCAAATCAGTAAAAACACTTAAACAAAGTAGCACTTACAAATCATAATTTATTCCATAAGAATGTAATGCATTGCCGTGAGTAAAAAATAGACCAGAATAGAAAAGATGGAAGAACAGCAGCACTAGACTTGAACTCAGAGCAGTAGCACACTGCTGGGTTTAGTTGCAGACCAGGCTGCATGCACTAGGAGGACTGTTGAATGTTGACAACGATGTTAGGGTTCAAAGCTGCTAGAGGCAAATTGGATTCCATAAAAAGGAGATATATGAAAGAGGCGTCAACTATGATAAGGTTCAACAAAAGAGGCTTTGCAAGGAATTTTCAAAATCAAAGTGAAATCGTGAAATCCCACGATTTGAGGGATTTTACAATTTAAATTGAGATTTTATAACGATTTTACTCAACCAAGATTTTATCCACAATTTAAATCGGTGAGACTTCCAAAATCGTTAAGATTTTACAATTTAAATCGGGATTTTAACTACCTTGACCATGTATAAGGTTTTGTGTTAATTGACCCTGTAGCTTTTTGCTTCTGCGGAATTTTGTACATTTAGTTTTGGAATGCTTGTTCCCAGTAAGGTATGAAAAGAAACGGCTCATGTCAGGGGTCTAAGTTTGTACGAGATAAGATACTTCTAAAAGAATTTTCTGCATTGCTCTGATCCCCATAATACTTTTACAAATGCCAGCTGAAACCTCAACTAGTTTAAATTTATGTGATTAACCTGTATGTTTTAATATGATAGAGTGGTTTTTTTGCAGATCCCATATGTGGAGGAGAAAGCTAGACCAGGGGCAGTCAAATTTTTTCGTACTCAATCACCCCGACATTTTGAAGGGGGTGACTGGGATCAGGGCGGTACCTGTCAAAGGGATCAACCTTTATCAATAGAGCAGGTGTGTGTCCATTTAGTTAATTTTCTTATCATTGTTTTAACTAAACTGTCATCCAGTGAGAGACACATGTAATTCCTCTCGACAGTGTGGATGTTGCATGCTACCTTCAGTGTCACTCTTCTTTTTGCTAAATTATGAGCACGCTGACCTTGGAAGTCTTGTTGGCCTTTCAGGTAGAAGAACTATTCTCTGTGAAGAATAATGGGACAAATGTGGAGGCTCGACTGGTGAACCAACACCTCTATAAGGCTCTTAAGGGTTCTAGCTTCATTATTTTGAACATCACACACTTGAGTGAGTTCAGGGCTGATGCTCACCCAGCAAAAGCTGGAGGGAAAAAACATCATGATTGCATGCACTGGTGCTTACCTGGACTTACAGATACCTGGAATGACTTGTTCATACAGCATCTTAATAGCATCCAGGGTAGAAGTTGATAATGTAGGTATCTATATTCGATAGAAAAGCGAAAAAAAGGGCACTACAATTTCTTGAACTTCGTCTTTGGTTAGTTGTGATGAGATTGATTTTGTGAGTAGGTTCTATCATTTTCTTTTTGATGATTAATGAGATGAATCACTTTGCTGCCAAGTCAGGTTTCAATCCCGACATCTCTTTCTAGTTTCTACTGTTACACAAGGGAAAAAGGCAATAAAACTATCATTTATATTTAAATTGTTTAACATTTAGCATAACTAAGGAAATTTTCAATTCCAATAAAATTATTCTTAGAGTATCCATACTCCAATGCAAACACACAGAGTATTATCTTATATATAGGCACGAACGTGGCAGCGATTGTTTCGTCTCTATGGAAGTTCACGCTATCAGGAATATTATCAAATAGTCTATTTAGAAGAAATGAGAAAGGTGGATCCTCATTGCTTAATAAAAAAAAACATTAGCTTAGACGGAACAGAATAAAAAAGATTAAAAAGATAAACAAATTCCTAACAAGATAACTGAAATTTCTTGCCAATGACGACTAATTAACCTTAATGAACGACGAGGGCCCAGCAGAAATTGTTCATTTTTGATTGCCAAATCAGATTAGATTCTTCTAATTACAAAACCGTAACCACGTCCTCCCCAGCATATGAATATTACTGGGTTTTCTTTTATCAATCTGATTTGAGTTTGAGAAAAAGAGATAGAAAGAAAAGAAAAAAAAGAGGGAGAAACAGAAAGATAAATATAATAGGTGTTGCAATATTAAAGGAAGAAAGATAAGAAAGGGGGAATGAAAATTGAATATTAGAGCAATGGAATGAAAAATTATCATCATTTCAGCAGCTCTTTTGCCCTCACTGCACCCTGTTTAAATCTCAAAATGTGCCTTTATTACATCTTGCGTTTATGCACAATACACCCTTTTGGCAAGTAAATTGAGCTATTTTGTGTAAATTTTTAAATCAATTGTGCTGATTAATGCAATTTTCAAATCAATAGACTGTTTGATTTTTTTTGGTATTTATTTATTACAATTACGATATAACTAAAATAAACTCCGATTTCAGTTTTCAAAGCAATTATACAACATAATTATTGCATTTTTGGAAACACGTTAAAAATTGTATAAACATAAATCTAAGAAGTTAAAGTTAACAGCAGTCAAATAAGCGTGGATCCGTGACCATTGGCTTGGGTTTAATTGAAGAACAATCAACTGAAAAAGAAGCAACCTCCTTTTTAATCAAATGTGAATCCATTCCTTTTTTCTTTTCTTTTTGTGTTCATTTCTACTACTTGTAGGTCAATCTCTCAGATTTGTTCCTTCATTGAGTAATTTATATTATTCTCAATGCTAATTAGTCATTCATAGTTTGATTTATTTCATTCTCTTAATTAAAAAAATACATGATTTATCATCTTGATTAATTAAAATCTAAGGATGAGTTACATTTTTTTATGTTGCTGAACAATTTCATAGTTAATCATCCTCTGGCTAGTAATAGTTTAATCAAGAAATTGATGAGCTATGTATAGCAGAAAAGCAATGATATATCAAGAATTTGAACGTTAGTGAGATTGGGACATTGAACCTTCATTAGAAGTTTGAGTACACACTCAAATTAGTCTTTAAAAGATTTTACTAGGCCCAATTTAGTCTCTTAAAAAATACAATTATTAAATAGTCCTTGAATTTTATTTTATTTTTCATGAGACAAATTAGCCTCTCTATTATGAGTCATATTTAACTTAACAAATTGCTTCTATAAACTATTAATTAGTTGAGAAGACATGAAATTTACATCCTATAAAATATAAAAAAATAAATTTTTTGTCCTTAAAAAAATTTATTAGTCAATTTACATATTTCTAAACACTAGAGCCATTTTTACAAACTAATTTGACTATTAAATAAGTTTTAAAAAAATTATTTTATTAATAAAAATTAATGATGTCATCTCACTTATTTTATGGATTACATAAAAAATTTTAAAGTTAAATAAGAGTATTTAACATTGGACAAGCATGTCCGATGAAAAAACTTTTCAAAAACTAATTAGTTGACTTTAACCTTTATAATGACTAAATTGGTCTATAAAAAAAATTTTAATTATCAGTTTGCGTATTCACTCTGATATTCATTAGTTTAACCTGAGTCAGTTGGAGTCCAATTTAGTGTTGAGGCATGTGAAGGGTAATTTTGATGCTGCTACATTTTAAAATGAATGAACAAGTTTGGGTGGTGTTTAGGGACCACAATGGAGAGCTAAAAATAGAAATGGATAGGGCTATTTCCATCCAAATATGAGCCAACTTTGGCTGAAGCTCTGTGCCTTAGGTGAGCCATGGATAAGGATTAGGAGTTTGAATCTTTCTCACATAGTCATGGAAACCGATTGCATATCTGATATATCTGCTGCATGCGTGGACAACAAGCGAAATGACCCTTCACACGTTGGAATAATCATTAAGGCCGCAGAAAACATAGCTCGTGACAAATGCAAATAAAATAGCTGATATAATAACAGCTAACTTTGTCCTTTAGTAACAGAACTTGGATTCATGCTGTCATTCAAAATTTGTTGTCATCAGATGTATTGGTCTCTGCCTCTCTTTTGTTTAGCAATGAATCCTTATTTTCTACCGTCAAAAAGTACAAATAATCTATCATTGATTTAAAATTGAAAAAATAAATCATTTATCGTTCAACAAAGAGGCCGTACTCATTGCTCAATCAATTTGGACTGTCCATGACTTTTTGTCCTCAACGCACCCTGTTTGAATTCTAACCAGTGTTTTGCGTAGTTTTTCAGACACAGTTTCTGGTCCCGTTTTGTATTCCGCTCTGCATTGCCAATATTTTAAATTCAATTTAGCATTATCATTTGGTGCAAGAGAAGAAACAATTAACATAACTTTAAAATAAAAGGGTACAAAAAACATTGAAAACAAGGTGAAAATAATGAATCATAAGCGTAGTTTACCTTGTTTTCTTATAGGTTACAGATGCAACAGAGTTCACAACCACTGCAGTTCCTGTGCAGAACATTTCATCAGCACTTAGCATTTCCTCCACTGATACGGCACGTTCCTTGACCTGAACATAGTTCAATTAACCGCTTCCTTAGTAAATATACAATCTAAACAAAAGGGAAGGAAAATAGCAAAGCTCTGATTCGTAACATAGTAAAGTTGCTTAGTTTGGAAAACCAAATTTAGATAAAATAAAAAAAACCCATCAAGAATAATCAATTTACATGCCAATAATTGAAGAAAAATTAAATACCTGATAACCCAAATCAGTGGCAATTTCAATGATGGATTTTCGTGTGATCCCAGGCAGGATGGTTCCATCTATTTCAGGAGTGAAGATGACGTTGTCCTTCACAATATCAAATCAAACAAATTTTGTTCAGACATAATAAAATTTCCACATGGTTTGGACACATAAATTTGTTAATACTCCTACTATTACACTATACGTGTATATGATATTAAGGTTGTTGGTGTACCTTCACAACAAATACGTTGCATGCAGAGGCCTCCTCTATGTATTTTCCAGTTGCCGAGTCCAAGAACAACACATCGGAGAATCCATTGGCCTTTGCTTCAGTGATTGCAGTATAAACCTACGGCATCGAAATTATATAGGGATAGTGCACTCAATGAAGAGCCAAATTAATTTTGGGTAGCTTATAATATGTTCTATGATTTTACTTAGCAGTTTGGTAATCGTGTCTGGTGTTGTTACTGTTGTATTACTATCAGCAATATAGAGTTTCAAGATTTGATTAACAAGAAAGAGTATCCTTCAATCCGATTTCTTCTAACTTCAGGATAAGCATCATAAATGTCACTGCCATGGAAAACAGACGTATATATCCAAGCTGGAGAAAACATATTTATTGGTAATATATAGGTTGTGTGTGCTTACAGGTGCATAGTTGGTGACACTCTTGATCCCTCCGGTTCCGCCACAGCCTGATATTGCTCGGTATAGTCTATCTTCCACTTTTATGTTTAGTAGACCCTGTAATAGAAATTAAATTAGTCTAGAACATGAAATTTCACAAGTTGTAAGTCAAATCTTTTCTATAATAATCAAAGATTATAACCAAGTCGAAGACCTTAGCTGACCTTGTGGTAGCAACCAACAGGAGAACAATAAATAAGAAAAGTGTACTCAGGTGCTGGTGCCACACCTAGCAAAGCTCCTGTTCCCATTAGCAGTGGCCTCATATATAGTGACCCTTTACCTGGAGGAGGTACCTGTTTCAAATTTGAAGCTCAATTCAATTTGTTTTTCAACTTCTTAGAGAGAAAACAAACTAGAGAAATGAATAGGACGAGATATATACCCAACGTTTGTTGGCAAGAACTGTCTGCTTTACAGCATCAACAAATTGTTCAATAGATGGTGATGGCATACACAATCTGTCTGCGCCTGTCTTCATGCGTTGAGCATTCTCTTCGGGTCTAAACAGTTGTATGCGCCCATCTTCAGTCCTATATGCCTTTAGCCCCTCAAAGATTCCCTGAAGATAACAATGTTTGTATATGTGAAGTAGCTAATGAAATCATCTTTTGGGTGTGCGGTGTACCCTTGTATGATTATAATAATGGATGAAACACAATTAGGAAATACAGTGTTCTTTCAACCTGTCCATAATTTAAGATGCCAGCAGAAGGGCTAATCTCTATGTTTCCATAGCGAATGAGGGATCCTTGTGAAAACTTTTCTCCTTTTGCGCATTTCATGACATACATGTAATCTGTGGGAACTAGACTAAATCCAAGCTCCTCCCAATTAACATCAGCGTAGTTTTCACCAGCAACACTGATGAAGGGATCAAAATCACCAATCTTATTATTCAAAACTTCAATAAAACCATGTTCATGTATCTACAACATTTTCTAGCTCATAGAATTTAAATTGTCATATTGTACCTTTCAGAACCGTCTTCGCAGTTCCCTAAAATAGAAGGGGGAAGGGGAGGCATAGTTGGAAAGTCGGAAATTTGTCTGCATTTCAAATCCATGTCAGTTAAATGCAATGCAAGCTTTCAGGCGTATAAATATGACAAGGCACCAGCAAGCGATTTTTTCAGGATTTATTACTCAAGAGTAATAATTTTATATATAAAAAATATATTTATTATATTGAAGTTATAAAAAAGTAATAAATATTCTATAAAACCTGCACATCAATCTTTTAGCTGAGATTGACATTTTCCCCTGAAAATAGCTAAAACCTTATATTTACGGTCTTGTGTTGTGTAGTTCGTTTGAATATTTTTTTTAATGATAGATAAAAACACATTCTGTTTTTTCTGTGTTTTGTTTTGTGTGTGTAATTAGAATGGGGTGCTACTAAAGGCCACAAGGACGTAAAAGGTTAGCAGTATATGTGACAAATTTTAATGAAGCCTTACATAATTGCTAAAAGTAAAAATCGAATCCAATGAAGACAATGTAAATGTAAATATAACCGTTTTATTAATTAATATCAATTTGATTGCCTTATTGTCACTCAGTTGTTCACATTCAACCTTATTTTGCAAGTAATATCTCTATTCATACGCATGAAATAGAAAATAGAGAAAAAGGAATGAAAACATTTGTACCTGAGACAAGTTTAAAAGGTGCAGCCAAGTTTATAGGCAACACCTCAATGTTTGGATGGAAAAGAGAAGAGAAATAAGAAGTTAGGTCACAAAGTGATCACTGAGGATCTGATGAAAAAACCATACTGCTCACGCCTTTTATAATGCAATTCTGGAACCACCGGACAAAATAACAATCCCGTGACTCACTCTCCAATGTTAATACACTGTTTAATAAAAACTATTTTTATTTATTCGTTTATAAACAAATTTCAAGATAATATTAATTATTATTTTATTAACATTTATTTATACATACTATTAAATAATTTAATAGTACAAAATTATTAATTAGTTTAATAATTAATTTAATAAAGTTCTTAAATTTTTTTATATGTATAATTTCTTTTCTTTCTATACAGTAGATAAATAAAAATGGATAATATTATTTAACAACCATAAATTAAAATTAGTTAATAACTTGCATCATGCATGGATATCATATATTAAGATAACCCTGTATTTGATTTAACAAATTAGAATCAAGATATGTTAATTTGTATTAATGTGATATGTTAAAATTAGAAATTAAATTTAAGTTAAAATTAAATTTTTATCTTAAAAGTGTTAAAGAACTTCCTCGTTGAATAACACAGTATCATTTTTAGCCGTGTGAGAAAATGAAAAAACCTTGTGACATCTCTTAACCTTAAAAGACTAACTAAATAAAAATAATTAACTTTTATTATATTAAATCATAATAAATTAAATAAATAAAAACTTTTAAATAGAAATATTATATTATAATTTAAGTTAAAAGAATAGAAAATTTGTTAAAATAAAAGATAAAGATAAACGTATCCAAGAGAATACACTTATTTTAAAATCAATTGATAATGAAAAATTAGTAACACCTTACTATTAATATGGATAAAATATTTGAAATGTGAGCACGAAAAATTTAAATCCAAAACACAAACCCAATACTTTTTTTTGTTAACTACATAAACGAAAAGTTATGAGAGGTGGTAGCATAAAATTTTTATTAAATTATTTTTTATAAATTACATTATAACTAATATTTAGCAACTATTAAAAGGTATAAAAAATAAATACGTAAAAATTTGAGAGGTCAATACGCAAAAATTATTGGTCTACACATTGCATATTAATAAAATCTTGTTTATAACTTTGTTAAAAATAGAAATTAAAAAAATATTTTCTAAAATTAATTATAAAACAATTTTTTTCTATAAATATTACATAAGAAATTATATGAATATTATTTTTATTCTAATTTTTAAGAAATTATCATCATCTATAATATATCTAAGATTACATATCAGTGGACTTTCATCCATATTATCAAATTAAAAAAAAAATCTGAATGTTAGGTTTGATAATGTAGATATTGAAATTATATGTAGTAAATAACAATAAAACTCAATCTCATTTGTATTGTACTAATGAAGTAATGATCTTGTCAAAATAACAAATCACATTACTCTATTCACTTTTTTTAATGATTTTTCTTTTGCGGTTATTTTTTTGTTTAGTAATTTACTATTGTTACTCATTTAAGACTTTATTCTTATCTCTTTCTTTTCTAAAAAAATAAATTTAATAATTTTTTAAATAAAAATTTTAAATATACCACATGACTATTTTTAATTTATTTATTTTTGAAAAAATAAATAATTTATTTTTAATAATACATATTTTAATATGTTAATTGGGAGGATATTTAATTTATTCAGCAACATGGGAGAATATTTATTCACCAATGACATTCTAGAAGATACATTGTATGAAATTCATATTCACGCTATTAATCATTTTTCTTCTTCAAATTAAACATGACATATATGAAAGCTAATATCATGGAGAGAAATTTTTTAACATAATTTTTTTATCATTAATTAAAATTTATTAAAAATAAAAAATTATGAAAGAAAAATATTATTTTAAAAGTAAAAAATAAACTCAAATTATTTTTGTAAATGATGTGTTATAAATAACGTGTTGTTAGTGTTAATATGCAAATCTCACTTATAATTGGTGCCATATTTGTTGAGATTAAATTAAAGTGTGATTGACTTTCAGTAAGGCTAAAGAGTTTTTAGGGTCTAAAATAAATTTAAAAATAAAACTTTTTTTATTAATAAAATAATTTATTATTATTAATTAAAAATTGCAGCTCATTAAATATTATTTGTAATATCAATAAAACTTTAATAATTAAATTAAATATTTAAATTAAAAATTATTTTTAAATTTAATTTTATTTAATTTTTAAAAGTATATTAAAACTAGAAACAAAAATTGAGGCCTAAAACACTTGCCTTATCATCCTGAACCTTAAGCCGCCCCTGTTGACTTCTTTTCATGACGAAAGTCATTAATTCGGTGTCCTCGTTTTAAACGAATTTAGGGTTCATCCACGTTATTTGATTCTTTCAGAAGTCAGAGATGTTGCAGAAATACAATTTGTTAAGTGACAAAGTAACGATTGAAAAAGAGTTGGTTTACAAATTAAATCAATTGAAGAAGAGTTTGCATTTGAAAAAGATTTTAAGTTGTGATGAAGAATTGGTATGTTTCGTAAAATAATTATAAAAGTGATGAAGAATTAAAAATCGTTTCTGCTTTTCATTATTTAAGCGTTTTTCTCATAGTAAAAAGTACTATTTTGAATATAAAATTAAAATATTTATATTATTTTTAAGCTAATTTTTTATTTTATCATAGACAAATAATTATAATTTTTAATTTACCAAAAAATATATTTTAAAAATGTTTCAAACAAAATAGATGATCTTTAAATCACTTTTCATTTACGTTTTATAGGACAGTTTGAAGTGAGAAAAAAAAAAATAAGAGTTCAAAAATAATAACTTAAAAATATGAATTTAAGGATATTTTAAAAATTTATAAAAACTCTCACATTCAAAAATTTACAAGTAAAAGTTATAATAAAAAAATAATTTTTTTCTTCCTTCCTTCTCTTGAAATTTACTCTCAAAGCCTTAAGATACCTAAATATAAATTTTATTTTGATTTAAATATATTTGTAGTACTCGTAAGTAACGCTAATTTTAATTGTTTTCTTTATATAAAAAAAAGTTTATAAAATTGTGGTATATGAAAAAAAATAATTCATTTTGACTTCTAAGAAGTGTTATTATATAAGCATGTACCACACTGTGTGTCAAACATAATTCCTAATGGTCCCTATATATAAACAACATATGATGGGGACATAAAACACTGCTTTGGATTACATGTTTTCTCTGAAATTCTTTATCTTTGAATATCAATTCCAAAAGTAGAGGTCATTATCTTTGTTATTATCTTTCTTTGAACAATCATCCCCTCACACATTCCCCTAGTACACAAGGCATAGGATAACAATTCAACTTGTACTTTCTAACCTTTACATTGTATTTCCAGCATATTATTCAACTTGGTCTAAAATATGAGCTCCTATTAAAGTAAAATTTTAATTTTAATTAGAGCTTAACATTTAAAAGATTGAATTTAAGTTTTGTTAATAAAATAAATAATCCGTTGTAACTGTTCTTAAAATCAATCTTCATTTTCGATGTTTATTAAAAAATTATTAAGGTAAAGTTTTAATTTTAATTGGAGGCCAATTCGTAAAAAATTGTATTTAAATTTTATTTATAAATAAATAATACATTATAATTGTATTTAAAATTATGAACAAATTCAATTATAGAATTTAATGAAGAAACAAAATTAAAAATAAAGTTAATCGTTACTATTTTTCTTAAGTAAGAAAAAGAATGCTTTATCATTTGAAAATTAATTCATATTTTTTTATTATAATCTTTTATAATGAATACAAATAAAATATTTTTTTATCTAAATCTCAAACACTATATTTTTATAATAATCTTCATAATCACATTAATTTACAATAATATTATTTAAAATCATTAAATTCTCATAATAACATTTTTTAGTTTGTGTTTGACAGTATTTTTTTACCTCTATACAAAATATTTTTTTAGTCCTTTAATGAAACACATTTCTTTTAATTTTATTTATTAATTATTTATAAATATTAAAATAAAAAATATGTTATGCATTAAAAATTACAATAACAAAAGATATTATGTATAGAAATTAAAAAATATATATAAACATCATATAACAATTTTATAACGGAAGTTAACATCTAAAATTATTTCAAAAATAATTTTTATTTAAATATTTACTTACAATTTTTTATAAAAATTAAATAAAAGAAGATTTTGTATAAAAATAAAATAATATTTAAACTTATATTCTAATTAAGAGCATGTACAATATTTGTGGGTTTAATTATTTCATTAACCCTACCATAATATAAATCTTTTCAATTTGAATAATATTACTTTCTGTTAAAAATATTTGGTAATTATAGACCAATAAAATATATTTTTACAAATAATTATTTGAATTCATCGTTATCATAATGATAACATAAAAAAAGTAAAAGATCTATAATAATAATGTATTTTTAATATATAATCTTAATTATACTTTATCAGATAAGAAGTATTTATTTATTATGCATAGCATTGTGGTAACTGACTTAACGCAAAAAACAAAAACAAAAAAAAACGTAATAATAATAAAATTACTCAGAGTGGAACCTGAATTTTGTTTATAGTAATAATATCATTATTATAAAGTATCTCAGAGGTGTAACCAACACCAACTCCATATTACATATATATAGAAAAGAAAAAGTTAGAAATATTCTTTCTTCTAAAATTTATTTAATATATTAGCTAAAATTTCGTATTTTTATATTTTAAATAAATTTTAGCCAATAATTAAAAAATCTATTAAAAACTATTTTTCTAAAATAAATAATAGCTCAGTCAATATTGACCACCCATCCGTTCTTATCATCCAAAGTACCAGTTTGGATTCCCTTCATCATATCATACAACTTCTGGCTCAGAGTGTCTGCTCCTGTTTTAAACTCAACCCTGTACAACCAACATCATTTTTGTTTCTAATTATTATTATTAATCTTACAAAGCTACGAAAACAAACAAGAATTTGAAATATGTTTTACCTTTTATCCTTGTAGGTAACACTACCAACCTCGGAGATCCCAACAGCAGTTCCGCTGCAAAAAACCTCATCAGCTTCGAGCAATTCATCCACCGAAAATTTGCGTTCCTCGGCCTGAGCAAAATTAATGGAAAATATTATAATTTTGTTACAATATTAATATTATAATTATAACTACAAACTAAATTAAGTTAATTAATCCATCCCTATGTAACTATTTCAACTACTCATTCTGAGAGTGAGATATTTTTATACATTTTTTATTCCCATATAAATAATCATATATTTTTCTCATTTTAATCAGATATTTAATTAAATAGATTTCTATTTTATAGAATTTTTATCAATTCTCAATACTTGTTTTAGATATTTAAAACCACAGACTGAAATTAATATTATTTTCACAATTATATATTAAAAATGATCAATAAAATATCACCTGGTAACCGAATTGGCGAGCAAGTTCGATGATACTTTTCCTCGTAACTCCAGGAAGAATGGTTCCGAGTGTAGGTGAAGTTGAAATCACATTACCCTAAAAAATTATGCATGCACGAATTGGGGGATCGAAATATGGAGGAGGTGCCAAGATTAACAACATGCATGAAGATCGAAAACACAAAAGAATGCATGATGCAACATTACCTTGACAATGAAAGCATTGCATGATGACACCTCCTCCACATATTTATGTTCTTCAGCATCTAGGAAGAGGACATCGGAATATCCTTTGGCCTTTGCTTCTTTCACTACTTGGAAAACCTACATTTAGATCATAGTACTTTCGTTAAAATGTCACTCCATTTCATCATGTAATTGATTTTATGGTTTATAGTAAAAGCAGAAAAACATGTGGAAGAGTTTGTCTATTATTTTATCACGCATATTTATATATACTTACAGGTGAATAATTGCTTATATTTTTCACTCCACCAGTCCCACCAGGAAACGCGCGAGGAAGTTTATCATCGACCAACAGGTTCAAGGATGAAGTTCGTCCCTGTCCAAATTACCGTGTAGATATATATAAGACAACATTGAAATAAGTTTAAAAAATTATGCAAATCATAAACTATTTTATAAATTAAAAAAAATCATAAAAGCACCCTAGATTAGAAACCTTGTATTCTGAAATTTTAATGAATATGTTGGCAATCAATTCCTCTTTTCATAGTCATCGTGGTTCATTTGTTCAAAACAACAAGACTAGCACAGTTTTGGTTCAAAGTTCACCTTGTAAGAGTTGGAAACAGGATTGGTGTATATTAAGAAGGTGCATTGTGGTGCAGGCGAAATACCCATAACGGGTCCACTTCCAAATAGTAAAGGCCTAATGTAAAGTGATCCCTTTCCATGAGGAGGCACCTGCGGTTCCAATTACAAAAGTCAAGATAAAGAAAAAATAAGGCCAAGAAATTAAAAGAAAAATCAAAGGGATAAGAGTAACACATACCCAACGCATATTTGCCAGGACAACTTGTTTGACTGCATCAACATATTGCTCAACAGAAGGTGTATCCATTAGAAGCCTCTCTGCTCCCTTCTGCATACGCAGTGCATTCTCCTCTGGTCTGAATATTTGCACCTTACCGTCTGGTCTTCTGTATGCCTTCATCCCCTCAAATAGTCCCTATTATTTTCATGCATGTATCATACATGTTTCCACTTTGTCAAAACACTTTGCCTTTCATGGATATATACTCGTTCTATTTTATATTAAATATCACTTGGTCTTAATACACACGCTTAAAAATATGATTAATTTTATTAATTATTATGACATAATAAATGAATTTTTCTAAAATATTTCTATTAAAACTATTGAAGTTATTGTTTTAGTTAAATGATAACTAATCTTAGAGCTATATTGGTAGTTAGTTGGCAAAAATTATTTTTAATAAACAAGAGTATTACTATAGAAACCCTCTTTCCTCCGTCTCTTCTTTGACTCTCTATCCTTTCCGTTCATTTTCACCAAAGATAAAATATGCGATTGTAAATGCAACAGTTCACCTGTCCGTAATTTAAAACAGAAGAATATGGGTCGATCTGAAGGTTTCCAAAAGGTAGGAGGGCTCCGTTTGAAAAGGTCCCATCAGCATTGGATTTCATAATGTACATAAAATCAGTTGGAATCACTTGATATCCAATGTTTTCCCATTCGCTCTTTATCCATTCGTATCTCTGTTCAGTTTCAGGTTCCCTACAACCATACCGCAAGGCACATTAACTATTCCTGCAGAAATGTTTGTGTAAAATGAATAAAAAATAGTTGTGGATGAAGAACCTGATCACAGATACGCCATTGCTGATTATTTGAACGGATGTTGTCGTCATCAGACCAACCAAGGTCAGATAATAATCTGAGCTGAAGGTTGGGGATTTAGCCCGGCCCACCCAATTGTTAAGGACATGTGTGCTTATATTTATAGGTACGAGGAACCTAAATATTCACACCCCACTTTAGGGATTACAGTTAACGTTTGAAGGTCCAGAAGATTAGCAATCTCTCTCTGTCAATTATAGTCCTTTTCTGTTGACCCAAAGAAATTATAGTCCTTCTCTTTTTTGCGTTTTGTCTCGACCACTCATCACTTCTGTTGAAAAGTTCTTTTATATTGTAATGTATTTCACCCCATCAAAACCTTTAATTTTGTTTTCAATTTTTGTTTCTTAGCTAATGAACCAATCTTTTGATATATATATTCTGAATATTATTGAATTAATTTAATTTTAAATTGTGTAGATATTTGATCATTCGATTTTTATTTGTGCAAAATTAACACGTATTCAGTGTACAATGATTTTTTTTAATGTAGGGAAAATTTATAAAGATAGATGATAAGGAAAATTTTAAGCAATATACATATTTTTATATTTTTTTAACAGATAAGTTTTGCATATTTCAAGAGCAAAACTTGTAAAAAGAATAGAAAAAAATAAAATTAAAACAAGTTTTGTCTACTGTTACCGCGTGTCAAGTAACACCAAGTTTTGCATGCTTCCCGCGCGAACCATATTTAAAAAGATAAAATGAAAATAAAATAAATTTTGCTTGATAGTATATAATAAAGCAAAACATGAGACACAAATAAAATTTAATTAGTGGATAAATTATAATTTTATCTTATAAGTTTAATTTAGATTTTAATTTGACTCTTTGACTTTATTTTTATTTTTTGTTAGACTAAAAATAATTTTAACTAGTGACAAGCTTATTTGAATCAGATAAAATTATTATGCAACAAAAAATTATATTTAATATAATTATATTTACTGAAAGTTAAACTAAAAATTATATTATAATTCAAACATATTTCCCTAAAAGTTGAACCACTTATTTTGTGATTTTGATATTATTTTATTTTATTCTTTATGTTTTTGTGCCTAAGCTTTTCTCTAGCACAATAAGATAAGATATCTAAGATATATTATAATAAATAATTAATTGTTATTATATACACTTCAAGCTTTATTTACTGTTTCCTAATGAAATAAAACGAAATTTAAAAAGCGGATTCCTTTGTGTTAATATAGTATTTTAAATAATATTATCAAATTTTTAAAAATAATTAAATTATTTTACTTGAATTAATTTACATTAAATTTAATATCGTATTCAAATTAATATAAACTAAATGACATTTAATTGTTATGTCTTGATTAGATAACTTTTTCATAAAAACTGATAATATATGAGTAATGAACACCCCTATCTCGTGTGTATTGTAAATAAATACGATTCAATAATTAAACAAAGGAACGTAACTTTAACAATTCAACGGATGAACGTGATTTTAAAAAAATTTGAAGCTCTCCAATTTTAATTATTTGATGGAAGTATATATATATATATATATATATATCAAAAAGGAAAATAAAACAATCTTTGTTTCTATTTTGGAAGTAATTATTAAAATATGTCTCTTGATTTTCATCAAATATTGAGCCATGTACAATAAAGAAAGGAAAGATGTAGAACACAACTTTCCAAAAGTTTTTTTTTTGTCGTAATTGCTTAACATAGATAATTAATTATATATATTATCATGGGATAAAACAATCCTTGTCTTTACTTATATGTCTCTTGATTTATATTATATACATAGAGCATGAAAAAGAAAGGAGCAGCATAGAAAGATCCCTATGCTTCATATATGAGTTTCTACAAAACTTAGGTATTAATATTTTGTGATGAAAGAAAGTTATGATATTTCTACCTATTTTTACACATCTTAGTGAAAATTACAAAGTCTCGGTATATATCCTTATATTTCTTTTCTTTATTGATAAACTTTGAATGCTAATCCTATGCGACCGAAATAGAATATTCATTTCATTTACAACACTTGCAATTTGTAGTAACATCAAGAGCAAAGGGCAGATGTGAATATATAACTTTTTATTAAAATTTTAATCAAATTAGATATTCATAAACTTTTTATTATAAATATTATAATTTTTTAAACATAAACATTTTATTAAAGATAAAATTATAGTATAAGAGAAACTTTAACTTATTATATCTTTAAAAGAATTAATAATACATGTTCTATTTTCATACATAGTCGAGCTTCTAAATTAAAAGTCTTGTCATAAGTCATTTCTATTGACGATATTTAATATAATTAAATATTTTACTAACATTTAGTATATTATTATTTAAAAAAATATTATTATATTAAAGTCAAATTGTTTATATTATCACAAATTACATCATTACAATTCCACATATGCTAAGTAATGTTTCATACAAATTTTTAGATAAGTTGGTACCAAACTATTTAAACACCATATACCATGTTATTATAGAAAAAATATTGCAATGTAAAAAAAATACAATAAATTATCATCTTTAGTATCACAAAATTTATAAACTTATGATAGAATCGTTAATCTGTGTTTAGTTAAATTCTTTTGTATTAGAACTCTATTAATCAATAGACGTTATATAAATAATAATACAACAATGTAATCTTTATTATCATTACATTTTCACATTAACATGTCATTCACATTTTTTCTATGACATTTTATTTTCTAAAGTCTATCACAACTGTTATTGTAAATCCACTTCTCATGAAAATAATTATTTTTTTTGAATTTTTTTTAATACCTATCAGCTCATCTCAAATCGTCTATTATTACTATTAATTATTATAAGTTATGATTTATTAATATTAGGTGTTAAACTTGAATACATATTTACTAATTTTTTATAAAGTACAAAATTGACACAAATAATTTTGTAACTCGGTCATAAATGAATTTTAACTTTTATTTTCTTTTAAAAAATGTACTATTAATAAATTTTGATTTTTAAATATTTTTAAAAATATTATTAATGATTTTTAAAATTTTGTAACTTTTTGTTATTTTATTTTAAAGTTTCTACACTTACATTAAAAATTATTATTGACTAATTTTAAATTTTATAAATATTTAAAATACTGTATTTTAATATATATAATTTTTAAATATTATTTATAAAAAAATTAAACCGTAAAATGGTCACCGCCTATTAAAGTCAATGTGACTCCAAAGGTAACCAAACACTTTAAAGTTAATTAATATCAAGGTCCCTGCTAATTTGTACAAGTCCAGGTCTAAGCTCTCCCAAACGTGAGAAACGTAAAATTATATTTGTGTGCGAAAATGAATTATAAGAACATTTATTAAAAATATATTACTAATATTTTTCTTACAACTTTTGTCTTGATGAAATTATAAAGCCTATTAAGTTTCAGGTCTAACCTAACTAGTCTAGAACTCCCGTTTCTCCGTATATTTAATAAAATAATAATTTTTGTTGAAAGTAATGTTATCAATCTTATCGTTTAATTTAATTTTTTAATTAAATAAATTTATTTACAAATCCTTACTCCCTTTAAATATTATTTAAAAAATATAAAAACAATTATTATTAAATTACATATATAAATGCGTAAATTATATAAAATTCTATATATATGATTTTTATTATACAATCTACTTTTCTAACCTGTCCGTTTGGGAAGTAGGACAAGCCCTATTAAATATCTATTTTAACTAAGACTTCTATTGCATTTTCTCTTTCTTTCTATTGTTTGTCTTATTATAAAATAATAATAATAATTTTTTAATTATAAAAATATATTTGTAAATATATTAATCATTATTTTTTATAAATTTACTATACAATATATTAAAAAATATTCAGTATTATTTATATAAAATATATATAAGTGAATTCATTCTTTCGAGGCCGTGTTTAGGATATGTTAGATTGTTTGTGCTCTCTCATTATGTCTCCTCTTTTTTTGTTTTTCATTTATTTCATAATATATTTGAAGGATTCAGAAATAAGAACTAATGATCAGGGTAAAATTAATATTTTAATTCTCTATTTTTTTTTTCATTTTAGTTGATTCTCTAATAATTTTTTTAGTTTCAGTAATAATGTTTTTCTCTTTTTTGTTTTTAATTTGATTTTATTTGTCAATTAAGATGACAGAATACTATTATAGTTGACGCAAAATCAATAATTTTTTTATAGTAAAAAATTGTTACAAATAAATAAAACTAAACTAAAGAAAACAAAATATTAAAATATTAAGAGCAATTTATATTATATGTTATTTTTAAAAATAAAAAATTATATTTTTTAAAAAAGAAACAAGCATGCTCTAGGGGATACTAGATGCATAATTTCAAATGTAAAATTACATTAATCGTGTAAAAAAAAAAAAACCCCCAAAATTACCTTATAAATTAACAAATGCTTGGTCTAGCTACGAGTAAATTAATTCAACTTTTGTTTTTTTTGCTAATACAAGTGAATTCAACTTTACATGCTGTAATAAATATTCTAATATAAAACATGTGATTAAAATTAATATGACCATACATTTAAATGCATTTAATAGTTCAAACTTTTAGATTTTATTTTACTAAAATATAAAACAAATGCTTAATTATCTATACTGGCTGTCTATTTGGTTTGGAGCCGTTCCCTATATTTTACAAATGCAGGACCGCAGGTAGACTTTAACTAACACGCCACCAACTTATTTAATTGATAGATTATATTCCTTAAATGCTTAAGAAATTAATTTTTAACTAAAAGATATATATAAAAATGTTTTCAATAATTATATATATATATATATATATATATATATGAAAATTAAATCGTTACAGTGCTTTACTTATAAACTAAAATATTAGCTTCTACCAAAAAAAAAAAAAAACACTATAAAATAATACGGCATCAGTGTTTCCATAATTTAAATGAATGCATTATAATTATCATGTCCTCCAATTTATTTTGAAACGCTATATTCTTCTCAGTTTGAGAGATTATTATACATTATATTTTTATTTATTTTAATATGAACAATTTTTTTAAAAGATAATATTTTTTCTTTGTGCGTTTCTTAAAAAATATCAATAGTTACTTTTAAATGAAACTAAAACAAACAAGTAATTTTTTTTTACTTTGTTTACAATAATAGGAAATAAAAGAATATAAAATATGTAGAAATCTCTACATATAAGTAAATGCGTGTGTACTTATATATTATATGCGACAAATATTTAATATAATACAAAATAACAAATATTATTATTAGTAAATACTCTGTTTATGATTTATAATATATTTGATAAATTTCTGATTTCTATATTAGTATAATTTAATTAGAACAAGTTGTCACTGAAAAAAACAAAACAGGTAATCATCACAAATTTAATATTTAAGAGTATATAACAAATAAATACTAAAAGTTATTATTTTTGTAATCATTTTGAACAAATTTAATTTATAAACGTATTTTAGAATAATAAATTTAAATATATAATAATATAAAAAATAATTTTTATTCAAAATATTTATAATAAATTGATTACATTATTTTTTATTCAAATTAATAAACCAAAATATCAATTTTTAATCAAAATAAATAGTGTAATAAGCCAGATTTTTTATATCTTGACAAGTTAATCTAAATAAACTTTTAATTACACTTTTATTTTGTGCATGTAGTTATAGTGAATGAAGTTTTAATTACTACAAATAACTAAATAAAAATAATAAAACCGTAAATTTTATAAAATTTACAAGAACTTTTATATACAATAAATCAATTTAGTCTAGAACTGATCATAGGATCTTTTATAGCACATGTACAAATATGATATAAAAATTATACAAGAGGAAAAGTAATTATACTCAGTATTTTATAAATGACATTATTGATTAGATAAATTATTATTAACATAATTGAAATATTTCAAAATAAGAAATAATATTACTTGCATTTCACGTTAATTAATAATGTATTACAATATTACGAGTTACATCATTAAAAGATTTAATAAATTTGATCTTAGACGGAAAATAGATAAATTACATTAAAAATATTTTATATAAAATATTTAATGAACAAGCTCAATATAGTTACTGAGAAATAATTTTTTCATCATAATCTTACTAAGACAATTAATTGATAATTCATGTTATTAATTTGACTGAAAAATCTACGTACTTTTTTGATAGGTACTCGCGATTAATATTTTTATGATAAATCATTTAATATAAATTAATAAAACTTTAATATTTTAACATATATATTTCTATATTTTAAACAGTTTTTAATATTTTTTAATTAATTTTTTAAAATCATGTGATTTGAATGAATTAATAACATTAAATGATATTTTTTTTATGTATAAGTATTATTTATTAATTTTATTATATTAAACACATTAAAATTCGCTTTAACCTTAAATACATCCAGTGTCCTCTGTAACTTCACCTAACATTATTCTAACAACAAAACTCAAAGTAAAACTCCCTATAAATATCATGCAAGAGCTTCCAATTTTTCCCATCAAACCCCAACAATCATCATCACCCTTCAGAAACCAAAATGGGGACATACAAAGTTTCATTTTCTGTTCTGTGTTTCTTGGTCTTAGCCATCATATCTCATCATGTTGCTCATGCCCAAGATTCACAAAAAGACTATGTGAGTGCCCATAACGATGCAAGGTCAGAGGTGGGTGTTCAAGGTTTGTCTTGGAATGACACTGTAGCTCAGTACGCACAAAATTATGCTAATAAACGTAAAAGTGATTGCCAACTCATCCACTCAAATGGACCTTATGGGGAGAACCTAGCAGGAAGCACAGGTGACGTAAGTGGTGTTGATGCAGTGAAACTGTGGGTTGATGAGAAATCATACTATGATTACGAATCTAATTCTTGTGTTGGTGGAGAGTGTGGGCACTATACACAGGTGGTTTGGAGAAATTCAATCCACCTTGGATGTGCCAAAGTACGTTGTGATAATGGTGGCACATTTGTTATTTGCAACTATGATCCCCGTGGCAACTATATTGGGGAAAGACCTTATTAAGTGTTTCCTGGGTATCAGTTGTGTCTAGCTTATGTTTCCATGGAATGATGTTAAGATTAAACGGTGTGAGAAGAAGAATAAATAGAAATGAGGCTATGAGTTATGACGTTCATCTTGTTTCTCAAATGGAGGTATATGCAAGTTTGTGTTTTATCTCCACTTTCTCTTTCTCCTTGTGAAGTCAATGAAGCCACGATGCTAAATAAAACGGTGGCTTCTACACGTTTTATCTCATTAGATTATGAGCTATGATTATATATATATAATTTATGATTAATAAATAAGTAAGATGTTTGATTGCAGGATAATAATAATTATTGATTATATATATTGAGACACAGTAATTTATTGATAGCATAATTCGTACACTAAAACAATTCATAAATTATAATAATTAAAGATAAATTTAAAAATTTTGTTAACTTTAGTTTTTAGAACTGAATTTAAGCATCAATAAATAAAAAAATTTAAGATAAAAATACATAATTATTATATTAAAATTATAATAAATATTTTTTTAATAAAATTTTACTATTATTAGTTGTTTATTTTTAACTAAGGTTAACAAAACTTTAAATTTAATATTAGATAATAAAACAATAGAAATAGGAAGCACATAATTATATGTTTTTTAAAATAAAAAGTCAAATTAACTTGCATAATAATGAATTAAATATAAATAAACAAAAATAATTTGGTCAATGTTTACCATTAAAACTTTATAAAATCTCAAAGAATTAAAAAAATCCATTTTAAGAAATCGAATCTTCAATGAAATTTATAATAAGTTGAATTCAAATATACTATATGTGTTTCTTAACTAAATAATATATATATATATATATAATAATAATAATTATTATAAAAATTAATAATTTTTATTGACGTTATAATACACGACTAAATAATATTCTTGTAATTGAATTTATTTATAATTTATTTACATCATTATAAGCTTAATTATATTTTTTATTTATGTACTTTAATGTATATAAGATTTTGCTCTTTTTAATTTTAATGGTAGATTTATTGCCGGTTTTCAGAAGGCCCTAGAGTGTTGCTCGTCCTTAGCTACTGAGCTATGAGGTCTTCAGTTATCTTCAAGAAGATCTAACTAATTTGAATTGATTGTGATTCTAATGAGGCTTTCTCTTTAATTGTGAATCCTCAAAGTTGCAATTACTCTTTTTTTTTTTTTATGTTATTAGTGAAATTAGAAGAATGAGGCTATCTCTTTAGTTGTGAACCCTCAAAGTTGTAATCACTCTTTTTTTTTTTTTTTTTATGTTATTAGTGAAATTAGAAAGATCCTGAAAAAGATTAGATTTATTAAGTTTAATCATATTTTGAGACAGGCCAATCAAGGTATGGTTTAGATGGCTAAAATTAGTCCAGAGTATGGTTTAGAGTCCCTTGATTTTGAGGAACCTCCCCTTTCCTTAGTTTCCTTCTTAAAGATAGACTCTTGGTATTGGGTCTCTTAGATTTGTAATCTAGTTTGTATTTGTTTGGCCCTTTGGGCCCCGTTTAAATAGCAAAACAGAATGTTCAAATTAAGTCTTCCACCCTAAAAATATTTTTATTATATTATATTATAGTTAAATTTATATACTTTTATTTGTATAAATTAATAAAATGTCATTATTTTTGTTATATTTTATTAATTATTAGATAAAATTTTAGGATGTAAAGCTTAATTGGAGTATTTTAATTTTTTTTTTAAAATTAAACATGAAAAATTAAATTAGAAAGACCAAACTTGTATAAATGTTAATATGCAATGACAAAAAATGTAATTAAAACTAGAGTCCAATATCACACATTTAAAAAGTTAGAAGGATTGAATATGAGTAATTAAAAATTAAAAGAATAAAATCCCTGTATGAAAATTTAAAAGGATTAAATGTGAACAATTAATTTTAAGGGAAAAAAAAAGATCACATTAAAAATTTAAAGAACCAAATTTTCATGTATACAAATTTAAAAAGATTAAATATGAACAACTAATACTAAGGGGAAAAAGATTACATCTTTAAAAAATTAAGTAATTAAACGTATGTTTATTTTTTTAAAATAATTTTGTGCTTTTAAAATTTATGTATGAGTAAACCTTTATGACTTACTGTATATCTAAACATATAGCAGAAGATGTTTTTTAATGTCCGAAGCTCAAGCCCATAAAAATTTTGATATTATAGCACTTCAATAAAAAAATTAATAGCTAAGATTCTTTTTAAATAAAAATATAGAATTTAAGGTTTAATTTTATCTTCTTATTTAAAATTAGTTTTTAATTGTTTAAAATAAAATAAATTGTTTTTTTTTAAATATTTTCTAAATATGAAATGTGAACATTTATATTTGTTTGAAAGTTAATTTTTAGTAGAAAAGGAAGAGAAAAGAAAGAGTTATAATAGTTATATTTCATTAAGAGTTTTTGGATAAGAAATAAATTATTTATAAACTCTCTATAACCAGATTAATACATGAAATTTTATATTAATTTTCTTTTCTTTTTTATTTTTTTTTAAAAAATATTCTTTACTCTTCTTCCTAATTTCTAAATAAAGCTTTAAAATTAAATACTAAAATAATTGATATGTTTAAGTATAAAAATCAAGAGTACAATTGAGCTTGGTTTTTTTTTTCTTTTCCAAGCAAAGTGTTTGGGTGAGTTTAGGAAGAATTTATAGAACTTTTTTTAAGTTAATTTTTATTCATTTTAATATAATCTTAAGAATGAAATCTTTTAAATTTATTTTAAAAAATTATAATCAAATTTATATAAAAGAATGTATTAAATAATTCATTAATTAAAATGTATTCTGAAAAATTCGCATGTATATATAATTTTTATAATTCATACATTTTTAATTTAGTCTTTATCTTTTATTAAAAAAAATCTGTCTTAACACAGTTACAATGAAGAAGAAAGTTTTAAAAATCAGAGCAGCGCAATATATGCAGTGCAGAAGAAATTCCAATCGAAAGTCAGAAATAGGTGTTTGATCAATTAAGCTTAATAGCTGTACAAGGTGGATTATAATTAAAAATTATTTTCCAATAAGATCCATTCTCATGCAATCGTTTAGTTTTGTACTAATGCATTCGAATTAATCATTTTTTTCCCTTTGAAAATAATCTCTACCATCAATTTCATAATAACATGTTAGGCGTTTTAGTATATAATAAAATTTTCACTACCTAAATTTAACCTTTAGTTAATTCAATACATACAAAACTAATCTTCGCTATTAATTATTTGTTATTTAGTGATATCGTAGCTTTGGTGTGACTAATAAGATGTTAAGTAAGGAAATTGAGAAAATATATTATTAATTTTTTTTATCGTTATTTGATTAGAATGCACAAAATTAGTACTTGATTTGACTGATCTGACATCCTTTAAATGTTTGCCGTCAAATGATCAGAAGTTAATCTATGAGTAACTAGGACTAGGTTCAGATATACAGGCTAAATCTACTACCAAACTCAAGTTACTTTGAAAATCTTGATTTTTAATGAAATTAATACGTAGTTTTTTTTTCCTTGATTTGTTGTGAAATCTATTTAATAACTAGATTTTGATTATTCTCATACAAAATTGGAGACGTAACGTGTTCTCTTCTCTTGAATGTATGTGAATATTAATAATGGTTATTGCATGCTATTACCCCATTTAGAGTCAAAACTTGGATAACCACAAGATTGGAACTATTTTTACTTGAGTAATGGTTTAATTTCAACCATTGCATCTCCCTATTAATAAGGCTCATGAAGTGTGATTTGTGACGCAATTATCTAGCAAGCGAAAATGAGGTTGGTGAGCATTGTGCTAATAACCATATTCTCCACGTGCTGCATTTGCTTGGCACAAGATTCCCCAAAAGATTACATTGACGCGCACAACAAAGCGCGTGCAGAGGTTGGGGTTGGTCCACTGTCATGGAGCAAGACCCTTGAAAGCTATGCTCAAAACTATGCGAACAAGATGGTGAAGGATTGCAATATGGTGCACTCCGGTGGCCCTTATGGGGAGAACCTTGCGGGGAGTTCCGGCGACATTACGGCTCCAGGTGCAGTCAAATTGTGGGTAGAGGAGAAGGCGAATTATGACCCTAACTCCAACTCCTGTGTTAACAACGGTGAGTGCTTGCATTATACGCAAGTCGTTTGGAACGAGACCTTCGATCTTGGCTGTGGTAAGGCAAAGTGTGACAATGGTTGGACGTATGTCGTTTGCAGTTACGACCCTCCCGGCAATTTTGTTGGCCAAAAACCTTATTAATTTTAACTCTTTTTATTATTATTTTACTTTATGTTGGGTGTGGGATCTAGATTCTAGAACCCAGATTGTCCACGTAATTTTCTTCCATTGGTGATTGATTAAAGATTAAAGTGTAATATTATGTATATATATGGTATGCCATTTGTATTATAGGCATTGCTGTGATAACCTCATCATTTAGAGAGTTAAGGTACCTTTTTTAATGTAATTAAATAGAGAGTTAATATTTATTTTTATATGTTCTTGTGTTTTAATTCTTGCAAATAATTTAAACTTTTAATACTTATAATTAATTTTTTGTCAAAGTTGACCAAGACGTTGTTGTTGTTCTTTAAGTGCACAACACAATTTTTGTATGGTCCATTGTAGGTGTTATCTCTTCACTTCACATTCAGGGGTTGGAATGATTAAAACCAAGGCAATGGAATGATAAATAGAGTAACAAGAACAAGTAGAGAATGATGAAGTCATGCCCCAGATAGCATGCCAAAATCTTGAAATTAAGCTTTGAGTAATACCCAATCATGCAATAAGATTTCCTATATAATTATACTTTAGGTTTTTGGGTGGCTTGGGAGGTGCTAGGAAGGTGTTGAAAAAATGATTAGAAGAAAACTTGTGCCTATTCATTATCAGGTGCATGTAGAATGATTCTCTTCCTCCCCCCTCTCTCTTAAAGGAATTGAGTTCAGAAAATAGAAAACTCTTACATCGGATTAAAGCTTGTTTGTGTTAAGGACATTGCTCTTGTACCTATCAAATTTGGAGGGTTTTAATATCCGAGGAATAATATGATTTGTCTCTCTTAAGTTATTAATATAAAGTAATTATTTAAATTTTTAATTAATAACTTTTTACATTTTAAATTTTTTATTAAATTTTATAATATAGTTCTTTAATATATTTTCCTACTTCAATTGTGACCTTATCTACCTCTGTAGAATCCTTCATAGAGTGGAACTGTTTTGAGAGAAGGTTCTTCTTTGCTCTTAACACGTGTGGCTTTTCCATCATCCACAGGAGAAGAAATTAATTACTACTTACATCATTAACCACAAATCACCATGCTGCAAAACAACTATCAACTGCCATAAATGACAAAATTTGATTGAGGACTAATTGCAAAATCTTAAAAAAACTAACAATTACATGGCATCACTAATACACTTGACACTAATATATTTAACCACATAGAGAAAGTATCTTAACCCCTTATTGTAAGAGTAGCTGAGAAATACCTTGTCTTAATATTTACTACTTTTGATTCGATCATGGGAAAAGGTTAAAAATCTTTGTCATTAATGCTCTTTAAACTTCGTCTCTCAATCATGCGTATTGTTGAAGTTTGTAACTTCGATTACGAAAATTGAAAAATAATCATAACTTTTAGTGTATAATTTGATGATAATGGGATGAAATGGATGGATTACGGTCCACTTTAAGTAAACTTTTAGAGAAGTTTTTACCAAAAGAATAAATAAATTTTAGTTAAAAATAACGTTTTAAATTTTAAAGAAGTAAAATGAAAAAAATTAAAAAAATAAGTTATTTTTAACATATAAAAAATTATTCATTTTTTAGACCAATATAAAAAAGAACGGAACAATGATTAATAAGATAAATAATTATAACATAATAGTTTGATCATCAAATACATTACATAAGAAGTTTTAGGGGTTTAAGGGATGTGCGTGTGAATAGGTGTCTTTAACCCCAAGGAAATTTGTTGGAAAAAGGCAATTTCTTAATTTCATTTACAAACTATCCATATTTTATTTGTTAATAATAACAAAGTGAAAGAATTTGCAGAACCCCTTTTTAAGCAAATGAAGATGGGATCATTTTATTTTTTGATCGGAAAAGGAAAGAAATTCAATGCTTGGCCTTGACTTGAGCTGCCTTACTTATCTGCATTCTTAGCCGGTCTCCTTTTCCCCTCCACCGATATTTATATGCCGAAAAAATTGTACAGAACTGATCTCTCTTACTTGTGTGATTGTATGGTACATGCTCATAGATAGATCTCAAAATCTTGCATTAATCAAAGGTAGCAACTAGAAAGCTCCACATATAAGCGCTTGAGTATTTTCAAGCAGTGCCATTTGATTTGAAACTATGAAAGGGGAAAGGCATTGAAATATTTAGAAGGGTGTAATAGGCGTGGGCGCACAAATACGAGACTAATGCATTTACAGTTTCTTCATAAGACCCTCAATTTTCTCAGTAGCTTGATACATACATTTTTGCTTGACTGCATCCAACAGCAGACGACAAGTTCTGTATCTAGGTAATATACCTTGATCAATCATCTCCTCAAACAAAGAGAATGCCCACTCGCATCTACCTGCTCTACATAGTCCATGAATGAGCAGTGTATAGGTTGAAAGATCAAGACCAAGATGGTGTTTATTGATCATGTCATTTAATATGTTACTCAACAAACTATCTATTTTTCCAGTCCTAAAGCATGCCTTGATCAAGGGGTGGTATGTCTGAACATCAGGCTTACAAATGCCAGAATTCTCCATCTCCTTCAATATTTCAAAAGATTTGTTTTCTTGGGCATAATGACAAAATATAGAAATCATCGAATTATAGGTGGACGTATTTGGGACAACACCAGCCTCAGGCATTGCTACTTTGAACACATAGGTAGCCTTATCTACTCTGCTTGCTCTCCCCAACATGTAGATGTATGAATTGTAGAAAAGTGTATCAGGCCTACATCCAGCAGACTTCATTCTCTCAACTACTTCCAAAGCTTCCTCAAATTTTTCTGCCTTTGCCAGCGCACACATGATAGTAGTATAAGTGACGACATTAGGGGAGCAACCTTGAGCCTGCATTTCATCAAGAATCTCATACATCCTGCTAAAATTCTCTTCTTGACAGTAACATTGAATGATGGTAGAATAACTTATAACACAAGGGCGACAACCATATCCTTTCATCTCCTGGATTGTCCAATGTGCCTCTTCTACACGACCAACTTTGCACCATCCATGAATGAATATATTGAACGTGTGGGCATTTGGAGCAATGTGATGCTTCAGCTCCAAGAAAATTTCGCGAGCTTGCTCCACAAACTTCTCTTTGCACAGGGCATCAAGCAACAAGTTCATGGATTCCGTGTTCTTCTCCAACCCAAGAGTTTGCAAGTCATCAAATAACCTCACAGCATCTTCCCACTGCCCTGCCCCAACAAACCTTCTCATTACCTTAGCAACAGTATTGAGAGTGACGAGACTGCCCTCACGCATTTCTTCCAAGAAATCTCTCAACTTTTCCATAACCTTCATTCTACCCAGTATGTCTACCATCATATCATACGATTCTGGCAAATGTTTGAAGCTAGAACGCGAACCTGCCCACTTAAATACCCCTAGTGCAGACTTCCAATCATCCTTGTATCGACGGAGCAACACGTGAACAAGGTTTTGGGAAAGGGGTATGGCTTCACAAGCTTGATCATTGCATAGGGAATGAAGGATTTGTTCCTCACTGATTCCTTTTCCAATTTTCGCAGCGAGAAAATCCACATATCTAGTAAGGTCTTCTTGAGGTTGTTCTTTATGGGAAAAGTATCTAGTTCCTAGAGTGTAACAAAAAGCTAAAGAAGAACACAGATTTGTAGAGGCACCACATATGTAAGAGGAATCACGAAGAACAATGCGATACAATATGGAGTGCATGGGGGTGGTTTTTTAAGAAATTCAAAAACATCCAATTAGGAACCTAATTGCGCTTCACAATATAATCAGATAGAAAATTAGGTTTCAGTGAACATTAGTACAGCTTTTCCATCATTTTGGGAGCATGAATGAAACAAAATTAAAAACTGTTGCAGCAATCATTCCCAACAAGAAGCAAAATACAGATATGCAAGCCGAAAGGATATATGAGTTGAGAATAGGCAAAAATAACAGAGCAACTATGGTTTATTCGAATCCAAAAGCATCACCCAAAGCACATAACAAAAGCATTCAAAGTTAAACAAGGATAGAGACTTGCCACCAAAATGGGTCTCTGAACCTCCTTCCACCGCTTTGGGATAAGTTGAATGGGTAAGGGCTTGCAGTGGCAGGGCCTGGTTCGTCACCCTCACAAATCGTAGCACTAATTAGGTCCAATTTCGAAAGCGTCTGCAACAAAATCAATTAAACAAAACCAAAATTTATTCTAAACCCAACCATTTTTTTAAAAATTAAATAATTTAAATCGGTTTGGTTTATTTTATGCAAATGATTAAAAATCAGTTTTCAAACTATTTTTTTTACATGGAAAATTTAATTTTAAATAAATCTAAATCTATTTTTAAACCCCAATTACCTCCAGGGACTCTGAATTAGCAAATTAGATCTTCAGATAACTATGTGTACAGGATTGTTACTTATTATTTCTCCTTCATTTTATTGTTTAGCATAAAAAAAATTATAAAAGAGAGACACAAATTATTGATATGTTTAATATAATTTATATAATATTTGTTTAAATGATATTTTTAAAAGAGTATTTTTTACAATAAAATTTTCTATTTTTTATATGTTATTCTAATTTTTATTACTAAAATATAGATAAGTTTACTATATGATACATTATTATTACTTTGTTATTAATTAAAATTTCAATTTATTTTATTATTTATTTAAAATATGTTTATTTTTAAAATGAGAATAAAAATTTCAGATTAAATAGTAATGATATTTAAATAATATGATAAATATTTGCATCAAATGAAATGAAAATTTTATTAAAAAATAAAATATCTAAATCACGTTTATTTATGAATTATATAAACGATAATTATTAATTAATAAAACTATACAATTATCACATTCTTAATAAAATAATTTATTTTCAAAGAGAAATTTAAAATACTGTAGTCTTGTTCCATGACAGAAATATAGAATCAATAACTTTTATAATATTATGTCTGAAAACATTTCAAAAGAAAATCAATTCACATAATAAGACGGTCAATGGAGTAGGATTTGTTTATACATAAAATATAACTAACATTTTCATGTTTATCAATTCATTTAATTATATTATTATATATATTATTTTTATTTTATCATATGTGAATATTTTCTACGTATTAATATATTGTAATTTTAATTGATATAAAAAATAAATTTTTATGACAAATAAAAATATTTTTTTTAGTTTTTACTTAATTTTTATTTAATTTTTTTAATTATTTAATATTTTAATTATGATAATAAATTTAAAATTTTTAAATAAAATATAACTAATAATAATTTGTATTTGATGATTTTATGTAATATTTTATTTGTTATTAAATATTATAATAATAATTATTTTATTGACGTACTCAATATTTTTACATCATAATAAATAAATAAATAAATTATAATATTTAAATTAAGTTACTGTTATATTTATTTTATATATATAATTTATTTTAAAATTTAAATAATTTTTTATTTTTTAATTATTTTTAAATTAAATTAATTAATAAAAAATATAAATATGTTGATACAAATTTATAAATATATTTACTAATTATAAAAGTATAAAGTACGAGAAAAAAATTATAAAATTAAAAATAAAAAACAAAATCATATAATTTGAAATAAATTAGAATTAATGATTAAAAATATATTAAAATAAAGGGTTAAAAATAAATTATTTAATTTTTGTTAAGTCATAATTGACGACCTAAAAAGTAAAAGTCAGAGCAGTAATGAAGTAGAGATACCAACCAGTAAGGACGACGAGACTCGAATTGCGAATAAGAGAATAAGCTGTTTTGTTTTGCGTTACTCCGTCACCCCTCGCCACCAACCCCCGAACCCAAACGAGGACTTGTTTTTTGAAGTTGAAGGCAAAAGAAAGCGATGGAAGTGAAACCCAAAATCGCTCCTTCGATGCTCTCATCGGATTTCGCCAATTTGGCTTCGGAGGCTCATCGCATGCTCAAGTGCGGCGCCGATTGGCTCCACATGGACATCATGGTATTTTTCATTCTTCTTCTCCCTATTTCTAAAATGTTACTGTTATCAATCAATTGAATTTTCTGATCTCTCTCTTTTTTTGTTCATTTGCAGGACGGGTGAGGAGTCTATTCGTTTGTTTATCCTATTGACTGGGTTCTAAGTTGATGTTCTCGTTATTCCCTTGTGCTTTTCTTGTTTTGAGGTCCAGCATGTATAGTATAATGGATTTTAGTGTTTTTTTCCCTTGCCTTTAGATGTAAATAGTTTTGGTTAACTGTGAATAGTATACTCTTTAGTTTCTTCAAAGTAATTATTCTTGCATATTAGTTTTATCGGATAAAAATTCTTGTTCAATGGTGATTGATCTCGTTGTGTGTGTTCGGATATTGTATAGTTATTATTCTTGAATAAAGGAGTTATAGGAATGTACTCTCTCTTATTGGCTGAAATTTATGAAATCTACAGAAGTGTAAGTGATAATCATTGAATTAAGAGTGAGATCAACATGATTTTTGTGTTTTTCAATAAATTTTAGCCAATAATAAAGATTGTATTTGAAAGAGTGTTGCTAGCTGCTTTCAAAATCATGTTTGTCATTAAGGCTGTTCTATCGGCAGATAGAGGATGTGAGTCTTCAGTCATGTTCAATAACAACAATAACCGGATCAAAGCAACCTCGTGTTCTCAGTCTAGGTTCTCTGGTTCTGCTAGGGTATTCATTTCTAATCTCTTCTACATTGTCTACTATAAATTTCCCCAATATCAACTACTTGTATAGCATGGTGTTGTAGGTTTTGGTTTTTCACTGTTATTGCTTTCTTAGCTGCCCCAATTTTCATCACAGCTTTCACCGATACTGCATTAGTGTGACTGAGGCCATATTTTTTTCCCACCTCATCCTGGTGTTTATGGTATTTTTAATGCATCCAGCTAAGTATTTGATCTATGCCACATTCCTCTGTTCATATTTGCTTGTATATAGTAACTGTTTATGGCTGGTAATCATATAAACATGCAGGAATCCCTAAACTCTTCAATCCTAAGGCTACTTTCTGATGACGGATTTCTGGTTGAATCATAATTTTGTACCTGTCATCTAATTCATTGTTTTTGAAATAAATAAATTATTTTGTACTGCATCGACAATGACATTAGGCAGAATGCCTTTATTATAAGTGACATGGAATGGGGCTGCAATTTGGGCAATTAACTATGCATGTATCAAGTTGGACGATCATCTAATGGAAGGAAAATAAGAGAAACCCCATCAGAGCTTGGCAATATTTATCTCTCAAACTTCTGCTTGCATAGATGTGAAGCATAAAGCTAAAGGTTAAAGCTTGTGTTTGGGTGCTAGTACTGTCCAGCATTAACAATCTATGTCATAATAATGGGAAGGGTATTTTGTTCATGAGTTCATCAACTTTACTTGGTCTTGCTATGGATGACTTAGAGTCGCATCATGGTGCTTAATTTTGTCTATTGTTAAACTTCACTACCTCTGTGTGTATGTGTGTGTTTGGCCATTAAATTACTGAACACGTTTCCTTTCCCCCCTTTCCCTCTATTTTGTGCAGGCATTTTGTCCCCAATTTAACTATTGGCGCTCCAGTCATTGAAAGTTTGAGAAAACACACAAAGTAACAAACTTCCTTTTTCACTGATCTAGACGATTTTATGCAGAATTTGTTTTTCCTATTTGCATGATCTATGGTGCATATTAGTCATAAATCATTAAACCTTGCAGGGCATATCTGGATTGTCACCTTATGGTTACAAATCCTCTTGATTATGTTGAACCTTTGGCAAAAGCTGGTGCTTCTGGTTTTACATTTCATATAGAGACATCAAAAAGTTGGTCCTTATACTTCTTTCTTTTGGTTTGCCTTGCTCATATACTGTTTCTTCTGTCTACTTTATATAATATTTCATTTTCAGCCTTCTTAAAAATGGTTTTTGTGAATAGATGATTGGAAAGAACTTATCCACAGAATTAAGTCACAGGGCATGACGCCTGGTGTAGCATTAAAGCCTGGGACACCCATAGGCGAGGTTTATCCTTTGGTATGCATTTCCCCCTCTGTTTCTCATGTGATCATACCTGCATAGCTGGATTTTTTTAACTTGTGGCTATTGTAAGTTTCTGTGTGTAGACTAGAGAACAGATACAATATCTCTGGCTGGAAGCTAAGTCTTAAGAGGGTTTTGTGTTTCTTTTGTCTTTTTATGTGTTTTCACAGGTAGAAGCTGAAAATCCTGTGGAATTGGTTCTTGTAATGACTGTAGAACCTGGATTTGGAGGACAAAAATTTATGCCAGAGATGATGGATAAGGTATCATCACTCTTTCTTTTATCATTTGTGGCTGACAACTCTTATCGACTATGCAAGTTGTATCTATTTTTTGGTTAATTTTTCTTTGCATTTGAATTTGCAAATCAGGTAAGCATACTGAGGAAGAAGTATCCATCACTTGACATAGAGGTATCTCAGCTTATTTTCTTGTCTGTAACTTCTTTCCTCTCAAGTTAGATGCATATTTTCAGAATTTTCTTCATATAGATTATTGTGATTCTTTACTTGATTGATTTTTATGTTCTCACCACTTGTTTAATGACAAAGGCAGCAACAGTTATTTCTCACCATTACTTTCGTTTTGATGTTATATCCAAGTGCTCAATTATTGTATCCATGAAGATTGAAGATATTGAAATGCTTGTGTTATAGCTCATGCACACTGGTAATAATATTGTTTTGCAATGATCAAAACATGCTCAACATCAATTGCAGGTTGATGGTGGTTTGGGGCCTTCAACCATTGACATGGCTGCATCAGCAGGGGCAAACTGCATTGTTGCTGGAAGTTCAGTGTTCGGAGCTCCTGAGCCAGCTCAAGTAATATCCTTACTGAGGAATTCTGTTGAGAAAGCCCAGCAAACATATTGACTTGATACAGTATAGATCCGTCAATACGCTTATTCTGCTAACGTTTTGATAAGTCGAATAAAAGATCAGGTGATTAAATAATGGTTAATACATGTCCAGATCAAGTGTGCACTTGATAAATATTTGTAGGTACGAAAAGGGGATGACGCATGCTGCCATCACCTTACTCCTTTGCCGAAGAACATATAAATATTTTTAAATTTTGAACCACTGTTTTAATTTTTACATGTGTATACAAGAGTGCAACGTATGGTCGTAGTAACTAAGCTTTTACACTTGCACAAAATCATTTCAATAGTTTCTTATTCATCAAGTGACGCTATATGGTTTACTGATAGTATGAAATCAGTAATACCAAAATTGAATCCATAGTAAGTATCATGGTAGACGCTTGTGTGTCAATTCAACGTTTCTTGGTTAAAGTTCATATGTTAGACCCTTTTTCGGTTAAATATATTTGACTAATTATGAAAGTGGATTCTTGCCCCAGTTATGTGCTGTATACATTAATATCAGTTAATTGACAATTTTTCCATACAAGTGTTTGTACTTGTTTCGGATTTGAAGCACCAATTACACTTGTTTTATTAGCACATTTCGGCACAGGTACCATGATATATGTGCATCTCTTGATTAGATGGATGCTTATTTGGGTCCCAAACTTTCTACCCAAAATAGAAAAATTAGTTTCTAAGAGAATAAATTGAAAATTATTTGAAGTTTCCAAATTCATTAAATGTTATTTGACAAAAGTTATATTTAGCTGCTAATTCTGTCCCAGGATTCGTGTTCATGAATGGAGTGATTTTGTAGCATTATCAATTAGTTTTGAATACCTACGATAAATTTTAGGATTTAAAAGATGAAATAAAGATTTTCTTAGAAGAATATTTTTCATTGATTCAGTGAAAAATGCATTATAATGGTGTTGCTTTATACAAGTATTCAGAATCACCCATACAAATTGCCTGAAAGATTGAGGAATAACTAACTTGAGTGAATCAAAATGAATGATTAAATACAAAAAGCTCAATCAAAGATGATTATTAATTTGTAATACCCCCTCAAGTATGTATATCTAAAAGTCCTTCAGCTTGCCAATTAGGCAAAAGAAGGAACAGGATGCCAATGAATAAAGTTGAAGTTAATCTTCTCTCGAATGACATAGCAAGTCAATTTGTATATGTTTTGTGCCCTCATAAAACGTTGGATTCTGAGCTAAGTAAATAGTTGATTGATTGATAGAAATTGAAGCTGTGGGAAAAGTTTGTACATCTGTCGGTAAGTATTACACTATTTTATCATCCTCTTAGTCCTGAAGTAGAAAGATATTTCAAAACAAGAGAAATGACATACGTATTAAATACTTGAATTAAACACAGTGCGACGTTTTAAATCATAACAAAACACACTAAATATTGTAACAAATTTTGTATCCTTGTCAATTGCCATACTTCACATCCAAGAAGTATACATCATAATTTTAAGAACAAATCATATTTTAAAATTATTGCTTTAAATCAAGCTAATTCCAATTTTATATATAAAAAAAACGTAAATAATCAAATTAGCGTTTAAAAAGATGTAATTTCGATTATATATTAGTCATTGAATTATGAAAACTGAGTGCCATATATCTAAATGTGATTTCGTAACTGAAATTAGTCTCCACATTAGTAATTTCAAGTAAATGAAGAAATACACATTTAAGGACTAATTGACCAACTAAATGTATATTCAGGAGCAATATTAATGGGTGCAATTTTTCATAATTCAAGAACTAATGAGTTATAGAGTATACTATTGAGTTAAGAAATAAAAAATATTGTTTCATAGCTCACACTTAGTCATTTTATTAGTGGTGTCAGGATTACAAAAATAATTACCATAAATAAAGAGGATCAGCTCATGAAAAAAATATATTTAGTTATTTAAATAAGATAATAACTATATATAAATTACTCTTTCATTCATACGTTATAAAATCGCAAACTACTATTTTACTTATATTATCTAGTAATCTGTATAATGTTATATTTTAACTTCTAAAAATTAAATATTTTCTCAATGTTTCAATTTTAAAATTGAATTTTTTTAATCCATATAGAGATTGCTAATAATTATATATAAATGATTCTATTATTAATATATTATATAATCGTAAAATTAAATTTTTATCCTATTTGTTAGAAAAAGATAAAAAAAAATTTTTATTGAATATTTTAACACCTTCAAATGGTCCACTTTCATTTTTAATTTCCTTACAATACATTTTAACAAGGTTTTCATTTTTATTTTCTCAAACTAATACTTTTCAAAAAAAATTTCTATTTAGAATTAGGTAGTCTTAATTTTCTCATTATATAAAAAAATATGTAGAAACATGGATCAAAATCCATCAACCTGGATTATTTTAAAACTTATTTTTTTCTTTTAAAAAATAGAACTTAATTATTACATAATTTAGAATAATCATTATTTACAAACTTAGATTTAATTAAAAATGATTTTTTTTCTAAATTTCCCAACATTCTCTAAAAATCTTAATTCACTCTTATAATTTGTTTTTATCTTTTCATAGATTGAGGGGAAAATCAACTACTACAACCACATTAGCTCAAATACTTAGAAGGGCCCTTGAGTTTGTGATAGCTTAATAATCTTATATTATTTAAAATTAAATGTTTTTTTATAAAGTTATTAACGGATAAGATTAAGCAAAGCACTTTATTAATTTAATATTTAATTGAAACACCTAAATTGTCACAACGTGTCGATATCATTTTCTTTTAAATCCTTTTTTTAAATACCTCATTATTTTACATTAAGATATTTAATTTAGATGAGATGTTTTCGTTTTTGCTTTGGGAAATTTTGAGGTGTAATAACTTAATAATCTTGATTTATTTTTAAATTAAATATTTTTTGTAAATGATTATTTTTATAATGGAAAAAACTTAATTTAGGCTAAATGCTTTGTTAATCGCTTAACCTTGTGATAATTTGTGTGAGCTTTTTCTTTAATTAAAATTAAGAAACTCATACTATTTTTTTTAGAGAATTATGTGACTTCAACTTTCTTAATGCAATAAAAGATATGTAGAGATTTAAATGAAGTTTTTTTTTTTTTTCACGTTGTTATAATCTTGCATATTTGATTTAAAGTAACTACTTTAGAGTATATGTGTTAGCAGTGTTTTACATTTTTAAGTAAAATTCTAGCATTTTCTATGCATAAATCGACTCACAAACTGACCTTAATTTTTGTAGATTGTTTCTTTCTAAAATAAAAGAGCTTTTCGATTTTTATAGTTTAATAAAATTTGTAGCGATACCATTTTCAAACAAAAATCTTTTTAAATATTTTTTGTCATCCCAATGTGATCATGATCATGATAGCAATGTTTGAGCACATATATATACTAATAAACTGCATCACATGATTTGAATCCTGTGAAATAGTTACGTTGTGTGATATTGATTCGTTGAAGATTTAAAAACATGATGGTTATTAAATATAATTAGTGAGAAAATATGATTAATGATGATAAATTTTTCTTTGATAAATATATATATATATATATATATATATATATATATATATAAGATGAGAATATTATAAGTGTATTGGATAAAATAAACTTATAAAAGTTTAATTTTAATAAATAATTTTTATAATTCAATTGCATATTTTAAAGGATAAAATTCTATTTTTTTGTTTGTTTTCTATCTAGTTTAATTTAAATCCTATCTGGTCACGCATTTAAATATAGTAGGTGAGTCTAATACTGAATTTTTTTTTACATAAATAAGTACTCAAACAAAAACTTTGATTAAGTACGACAAAGTTACTTACCACTCAAACTAACTTGGTGGATAAAACTCTAATTTTAATTTGTAAACAATAACAATAATATATAAGAAATCACATTTAAATTTTATCATTAAACAAAACAAAATAACCCTTACATTTCAATTACTTGTATATCTAATTTTACACAAAAAAAAATTATAATTCGTAATTAACTATAATTATACACTTTAAGCTAACTTATCAATTAAACTACAAATTATATACTTTTAGTTAATTTTACTAAAATAAACCTAAATTATTTAAGAATTATTATATCTCTACATCCACTTTCTCTTATATCCATTTTCCATTTTTTTCAATAACATCTTTTACTTTCTCTCTCTTCCTTTTTAAAATATTATATTCTTTTTTTTTCTTTCTCAAAATACACCCCATTTTAAATTGTCATGAAAACAATTTTGATTATTTAATAATTCGAAAATTTCTATGTTCCGAGTAAAAAACCGACCACAATGATTGTTGTAGAGTCTTTGATTTGATGCAGGCAACGCGTAGTAAGAGAAAAACAGACAGTATCCAAGAAAAATAAGAGAGTTTTCTTTGCAAGAGCTACTCAATTTGATTTCGTATAATTTTGTATATTATTTAGTTTTAGTTTTTATAAATATATAATGAATATATTAGTTTATATATTTTATTTAAAAAAATTTAATTTTAAATATATTTATAACATGTTTTCTACCAATCATTCATGTTTTTGGAGGATAGAAGGGGTCTAAAGACCCAAAACAAACAAAAACTAGCCCTTGTCAGCCACGTTTGCTTCTCTGTTACTGTCACTGGAATGATTCAAAGTCCTAACTCATCTCATCATAACCGGGACTAATCACTAACAAGTATTTTCAATTTTCCATTGCATAGTGTCTTATTCTCTGACATATTCAACACGCTGCGTTTCAAGCCACGCGATCATTCAAGTAAGGTATTCTCTGTCGAAATTCCAGCTTCATTTAATGGAATTTAGCATAGCTGACAATTTTTTAATGTTAATGTTATGGTGAGCAATGCAGATAACAGGAAGAGGACTCTGGTGGGCTTTTGATTTTCCGTAATTAATTTGATGGAATCTTCTAACCAGTTCCATGAATCATTTAGGCAAGGTCTTATAGTTGGATATCTTTTTTCTGCAACTTTTGTCATAGTCTTTTATATGTCCTATTGTCTACCTTCACAACTTGTCAAGAGGAGGAAAAGCATGACGGTGGAAAATAAGAGAGAGAGACTGAAACATCAGTCGCTACAGCAGGAGTTGAAAGAAAAAACCGAAAAGGTTGTCTATCCCTTTCTATCTCTTTATCCACACATTTTTCTTATTAAATTGGATTGCAAATAGCATATAGAAATGTTAATTTGCTTGTAATTTGATTGAGAAAGCGATGAGCATCACTACTTAATATATAATAATAATATAGATGTTGACTCTAATGTTAAGCAAAAGTTTAAAAAGTTGTAAATGTTCGCCTTGAAGCTTAAGCTATTAGATTTCATTAAAAAATGTTTATGAAATAACTATATTATTGAAAAGACTTTGCTTTCATTATTGATAATCTATCGTGGCATATCCATGCACAGAAACGAAAGAAAGCCAAACTTAGACATCTTAACATTTCTCTGAATTTTACCTTAGTTCAATTATATAATTTATTTAGTGTAAAAGACAATTTAGCTACAATTTTTTGTCATTTTTAATCAAAATTAAACTTTTCCTCACCGAGTTGCGACCACATTAAGTGGCTTTACTGTTATTATAAGTCATAGCAAATACTGATAATGGTGATTTACAGCCGCAGATCACTAAGTTATTGGAAAGATTGACTTCCACATTGAGCTTGGAAGAGCTCCATGATGCTACAGACTGTTTTGCTATAGACAATGTCATTGGAATGGGGAAGATGGGAATAATGTACGAGGGAAGGCTCCCTAATGGTCAATTACTAGCTATTAAGAGACCTTTCTATTCTCAACTGTTTAAGAGGCAGTTCCTTTCAGAAATAATGGTTCTGAGTAAGTACACACACACAAATATAGTGCCCCTGTTTGGCTTCTGCAACGAAGGAAAGGAAAAGATTTTGGTATACCAATACATGTCAAATGGAAGACTTTCCAAGTGGTTGGATCCTTTAGAAAGTGAAGTTGTGAGGTTGAAATGGCCACAAAGGTTCAACATTGCACTTGGGATGGCAAGAGGGTTAGCATGGCTCCATCATTGCTGTGACTTACACATAGTGCATCTTAATCTATGCTCTCAGTGCATATTACTAGATGATAATTTTGAACCCAAAATATCTAATTTTGGAGAAGCCAAATTCATGAATCCCAACACAGAGAATGATGTTGGCATGGTGTTTAAAGTAAGTGATGGGAAGAAGGATGTCTATGACTTCGGAAGTGTTCTTTTTGAGCTTATTACAGGGAAATCATATAATGAACTGTCTCTTTCATCCAGCATTGCTAACCTCTCTGGTAACCCTTCAAATTTTTATGATGCTATTGATAAATCTCTGATTGGGGAAGGATTTGAAAATCAAGTGTGTGCCCTCCTCAAAGTTGCTTGTGAGTGTGTTCAGGCTTTACCAGATCAAAGGCCAACTATGCTTGAAGTTTACAACAATGTGAGCAATATGAGGAAGGGACAACGTGGATCCAGTGATGATTCTGACCCACCCAGAAGATCAGAAATTGTTTCTATTACCAGTAGAGTCGAAATTATCGAGTTATAAAAGATTAGGAAATAGCTACCCTTTGCTACATCAGAAAATAAAGTACTTCTACTTGTATCTTTCTATTACTAACAAAGGTAGTGTTATATTTGTGAAATGAAGACACAAGTGTTGTATATACACGTCTTCGTTGCTAGATTCTAGGTCCTAAGCTTCAGTATCTTTTAACGTATTTAAAATAAAAAAGATCAAAATTTATTAATATCATATATTAAATTTAAACACTTCATAACTTTCCGTTATAAAAAGAATGGAGGGGAGAGTCTATATTTCTTTTTATTTGTCATAGTTTAAGAATTTTTTTATTGATCTGTTAAGTTTGAAAGTTTAAAATAATATTAATTATTTTTTATTAATTTATCATAAAGCAAGTGAATGATTAATTAATAAAAAATAAAGGGATATAACAAGAAATTATATAATAATTTTAATAAAAACATTTAAATCTATTTATTAATTCTTATTAAAAATCTTAGAGTAACAAATAAAAAAACATGAGGGGAGGATAAAATGGTTTTATGGATCTTACTTTCTTCATGTCTTTATCGCTGTTAAATTCCATTGAATTACAGCAATAAAGTTTACTTCTTATATTGTTGGGTGTGAATCTCCGGTGGATTCAACCAATGAGTAAATTATATTTTGATATCTATTATATTTAGTAAAATAGTCATTAAATTAAATAAAACATCATTATAGTTCCTAAAGCAATCATCAATACTTTTAGTGTATACTATTTTTTTTATAATCTATCAAAAACATATACAATTATTAATCATTTTAATTCATGTTGTCACTTAGACATTATAGGTTTTAATAAATAAGCTTACTTGTCATATGACAAAGTGATGTAGTTCGAAATTTATTTTTTTAAAAGTTAATCAAATTGGTTCTCAAATAATCTTTAGATTTAAAATTTTGTGAAGACTAAATTTATTGATTAGAGATTTTTTACGTCAATATTAACTATTAGGTATTATGTTCAACGATACTTAACATGCTAGTCAATTTATTTGTTAAGGCAATCAACATTTAAGTAATGGTAAGAATAAAATATTAATAACTGAATATATTGAAAGCTAAAATATTAACAATTATAAGTACTGAGAATCTGGATCCCCGGGGGAAGGAGTCTACACGAAGCAACTAAGAAATTTCAATATCAAAATAAATGATGAGGAGAAACTACGACTCACTCGTCAATGGAGAAGTGTTGTTTGATAGGTCAGTTTAGAGGAAATTAATTTTTTATATTTAAATCAATTATATATTATTTATAATGATTAATAAATTATTAATATTTTAAATTTATATTAATATAATATTATATACCTTTTATTATAAAGATTACTAAAATAAAATTATTATTTTTTCATCTGTAAATTGAACAAATTTGAGTGTAAAAATTGGCAAGACTCGAGTCTTTGAAGTATCCAACACTGGAATGACATAACACCTTGTGGTAGGATTCTCTGCTTGCTTTTTCTACAAGGCACTTACTCCTTACAGTATTACTTCTTTATTTGTACTATTATCTAAAATATACTCTAAAACATTTAAAAAAAAAAAACTTAAAAATATCTCTTCCTAATAACAAATATAACATTTTCTAATATGCAATGGTAGTAGTAGATATGATGCACTTAATGAAATATTAACTTCTAAATTCTATTATTCTGAGATTTTAAAAATAATTATTATTTATAAGTAAAGAAAAAATTATTTTATTAATAAAATAATATTTAAATTTATAAAATTATATTTATTTTAATTTTATATAAGTATATTTTTATTTTTTTGAATAAATATTAATTTTTTTTCTCTGCGTATATAAATTTTGAGTTTTTATTAAACTCTTAATTATAGGTGATTTTCTATGTTTCAGGAAATAAAAATAAATTATAAAAAATATTTTAAAGAAAAAAAAACACGATGATTAAAATTATAAAAATATCTATATTAAATTATATGAAGCAAAATATTCAATATTTATTTATATACTAATTATTAGAGAGATGATTAAAAAGTAATATAAAACATTAAAACTTCTACGCGAAACTGATTGCTTCACTGGTTGGCCTTCAATTTGTCGTTTTAATTTTGTGACTCATGACTTGGTCTCAGACTTACGCGTATTTGCGTTTTGCAGTAAGGGTCCCATTACGTGAATATCAATCACGTGCACACGTTATTAGACTGAGGTGTAGTCCTATTGCTTTTATTTTGGGTTAAATATATTTGTTATTTTCTAAAAAATACATTATATTTTAAAACTTTTTATTTTAGTCTTTTTTTTAATTATCAATTTCAATTTCTTTCAGTGATGTAATTCTGCTAAAAGTAATATGTTGTACAAAAATTAATATATATTAACATTTAAATTAAAATAATGTTATCTTCTAATAGTGAGTAGAAATAAAATTAATAATTTTTAAAATATAAATATAAAATTAAATTTTTTTTATCAAAATTGAAATATAATAGATTTTAAATATATTTAAATCTTTAACTTTTATGTTATTTCTAATTAAATAAATTTTTACGGGTGGTGAGCTTGTTAGTAAAACCCAACATAATCGAATATATTTCTTAATAATTTTTTATAAAATATAAGATTAATTAATTCAATTATTTTATATTATTATGATAATTATGCATATTAAATTTTATATAATTTTAATACTTTTAGACATATTATTAAAATTTTGATATTTATTTATATTTTAAAAATATAATATCTATTGAAGATTTGCAAAATGAACTACGTTTCTATTGTTCATTTTCCCTTGACCCTACATAACGAAAATTTCACTATGGAAGTACTTTTTAGAACAAGAGTTTTCAGCGTTTTTCTACACATCTTGTGGTCAATGCTCACCGGCTCGAGGATGAGCAACGCTGGTAGCATTGAACTCTATGGAGGAACACAAGAAACTGCTGATAACAGTTTATTTGATCGATCATTTTGGTACACTTTTGCCTTTGGTTATGTGTTTTCAGCAACATGGGTCACAATTGCTCTTATGTATTTCTGTGTGCCTTGGGCACAACAGAAGAAGAGCAACGCAAGTTTCACATCTTCCAACGCGGGTAGGAGTAAGAAGATCCATGACGCCAATCAAGTGCCCAACCTGCTCCCTTTGTCGTTGCTCAGGAAAGGAAACCCTGTGTTGGTAAATTGAAGATAATTGCCCTTTTCTTTTGAAGAAGCCTTAAATGCATTACATTATGTGTTTCTTTTTATTATCAAAATTAAAAAGGTGATGTTGGTTATTAAAATAAGGAATTAGAAATGGAAGGTTTTTATTAGAGATGAAACTTCTAGGCATTTAACCCTGACCAACCGAGATAACTGACCAAAGATAAGACCAACAGAAAATCTTTCTTCAGGTGATTTCATGGAATTGCGTAGCTACCACGAGGGAAAATAACATTCATGCTTGACAGGAGTTTAACAGAAGGATTATATTTGGGGGAAAGAAACTGTAAACCAATCGATTTAAGTTTAGAATTCAGAAATAATTTAATCAAGTACTAATGAGTATGTTAGATATATTGATATACATAAGCACATGCCTCAAAACATTTTAAATGCAGAATTAAAGAGAATTTAACGTAGATTTGTAAACAAATAACTATTCATTTGAAGCACATTTACGCCATTTCAACCAAATTTCTGAGGAAACGGGGCATTTTATTTATTTTTATGTTTGAAACAAACATAGTGCAAATGATTTGGTATAACATAATGTTTTAACTTTTATGCATAAACAGGTTTCTAGAGCACTGGACAAGTTAATATCTAGTGTGAGCTTCACCGAACTGTGTGAGGCAACTGATTACTTCAACATGATCAATGTTATTGGGATGGGAAAGACAGGGATGATGTATAAGGCCAAGCTTGTTAATGCCCCCCTAGTGGCAGTGAAGAGACTATACGATTCTCAACTATTTGAAACAAAGTTTGCTAAAGAAATCATGATTCTTGGGAGATTCAAACATAGAAACATAGTAGGTCTTCTTGGGTTTTGCACAGAAAGAAAGCAAAGGATCCTAGTGTATGAGTTCATGACAAATGGTAAACTATCTGATTGCTTGTATCCTTTGCAAAATGAAGCCTTTCCATTGGAATGGCCAATAAGGCTTAAAATAGCACTTGGGTTGTCAAGGGTTTTATCTGGTCTCCACCATAGCTGCAATTGGCAGATACTCCATCAAGGTATAAGCTCAGAGCATGTTTTGCTGGATCAGAATTTTGAGCCCAAATTATCGAATTTTACAAATGCTAAATTCATCAAAGGAAACAATAATAAGCTAGCAAAGAAGGACGTCTATGATTTCGGAATTGTTCTTTTGCAACTGATCACGGGAAACAAGTGTATTCAAATGAATGGATTTTGTAACGTCATTGATGAATCTCTATTAGGAAAAGGATTCGACGAAGAAATCTCTTGTCTAGTCAAGATTGCAATTGACTGCATACAGATGTCTCCACAGATGAGGCCAACTATGCTTGATGTGTATAAAAATATAAAAAGGTTATGGGAAGGATATGGAAGTGATGATTGATTTGGTGTTGCCTCACATCGCCAAATTAAGCAATGTGTCGATAGAGAGAGCAGAGAAATTCATCTTTCTATAATCTAAAAAGGAATATAGGATGGTGGATGCGGCACATACAAAATGTATCTTCAAAATATCTAAAGCAGTGATGTGCGTAGGCCCAATTTCGAATAGTTGTATATTTTACTACTAAATCAATATCCAATACTACGACCAGTTCTGTTATTTTTTTTATTCTGTTATTTAAATTATTAAAAATTATTTTAACGTTATATTCGGTTTATAAGAAACAAATTACTTAATTTATTAAAATAAATAAAAATATTATATATCATATATTTATATTCTATTTAATAAATATTTATAATATTAAATAGTTAAATTAGTATATTATATATTAAATAAATGAATACATCAGTAACTAATGTATAAAAAAAGATTTTATTTTTTATATTTCAAAAACATTATTGATAATTTTTTTCTTATAAATAAAAGTTAAAGTAATAACACATATATTATTTATTTTTTCTATATACACTCGTCTAAAAAAATTAATCAAAAGAATAATAATTTTTTAGTATCAAAAGTAAATATGAAGAATTATTAAATACATCTCATTAAATACTTTAAACGATTACTAAAAATATGCATTAAATTTATTTTATAATTTTAAGATAATATTTTTTTTAAATTTCTGATCAATAGTGTTTGGAGGGCAAGTGTACCTATCGAGTAGTAATAAAAAATTTCTTAAATTAAGTTTTCAAAATATTGACTCACAAAAATTAATTTTCAATTATTAAGAATTTTCTAATTTAATTGTTTAAGATTCAAAGATACGAGATTAATTAAAATAAAAATTTATAAAATCAATTATAAAAGTAAAAGTAAAAAATATAATGCACGTCTTAGTTAAATTTATCAGAGAAAAATCTAGGACATGAGTTTTCTCATTCAATCATTTATGTTATTTTTCTGTTTAACTCTAAATTTGATTTATTTGTAATTACTAATAATTCATACGAATATTATTAATACTCAATGGTCATGCAATATTACTATTCTTTTCTCTAAATTAACATCTCTAATGGTCATGCAAGACATCAATTTAAGAAAGTTTAAGGAACTTATGAACTTATTAATTTAATAATGATTAGAAGAGAAAGATTAATTTGGTCTACCTAATTTTTTTGTCTCATTTTACCCTATAAACCTATTAATTAACTGAGGTACGATTGTCTGACGATATAATTAATTAGGATTAAGACAGAAAGGCAATAGGATAAACTCTAATTACAAAACGAAAATCAAATTTAGATTCAAATATCAAAATTTCATAAATTCATAAACAATGATTCTCATAGCCCTAGCTATGGACTTAGTTACTTATGTTAAAGGAAAGAACTAAAACAATCATAAACAAATCTATAGAGAAAAACAGACTAGAATGAGATGAGTTCCCAGTCTTCAAGTACGGTCGTTCGAAACTCTAAATCTCACCAAGAATATGCCAAAGATTCCTTCAAAGAGAGACAGGGTAAAAGGGTGTATTAAAGAGCAAAAGCCAAAATGTAAAAAATGTCTTCCCTACGATACATGAGATCTCCCTCTTAATAAGGTTTGGAAACCCTAAAGACTCATCATAATTGGACTTCTCGCATATAAGTATGGTCGTGCAAAACCTTAAGCACGAGCATGGGCTCGAAGCACCTTGTGCTTGTTGAAAGGGTCTGGGAGTGCTGACAGTTGCAAAACTCTAATTTTTTTTTTATTAATTTTGGTCCAAAATGTACCCAAAGTCTACTTGTGGTATCTTTATACTAAATTACATAATTAATATATAAATTAGTGTAAAATTTAAATAAAATAACGGTCAAATATGAATATATGGACAATAAAATAAAGCTTAATTATAGACTTATCAATAGGTCTCGTTAAAGCTTAGATACATGATAAAAAATAAAAAAAAATAAAAAAGAAACATATATGATATTGGCTTAGTAAACATCAAATTCCAAACTGTGTTTCGAATAGTAAAATAACATTAAGAACTCAGTTGTTTTAGTGCTATAAGAACTCTTTTTTTAACTAACTTTTCAATGTTAAAATAAAATAAAATCTTAAGATTGACGTTGGAAAGTCGGAATGTGTGGGTACCAAACTGAATTTTCAACATTTAATTTTATTCTTTACAATAGGAATAAAACATTTATTTGAATTGTTTGTTTCTTTTTTATAATTATTTATTAAAACATTTATTCAAATTAAGCACATTGAAATAAAACAATAACTGCAAATTGACATTTAATCGATTTATAGAAAACAATGGATTTGATTCCCTGAATGTTTGCTTATATTATCTGACATATCACCGGGGAGTCTACGGCCAATGACAGTGATTGTGATGTAGTCTTTGATTTATATGCTACGCGAAATAACTAAGAAATTTCAACATCTAAAATCATTGAGGAAAAAGTACGACTCGTACCAATGGAGGCGTTTAAAGAGTTGTTTAAGAAGTGATTTTAGAGAAAAAAGTATTTTTTAATTTAAATTAAGTGAATCATATATTATTTATAATAATGAACAAACTATTAATATATCAAATTTATGTTAATTTATTATTCTATATCTTTTATTATAAATATTTTTATTTAAAATAAAAATTATTTTTTTCATCTCTAAGTTGACAATAATAACTTTTACTATCTTTTATTTTCCAACACTAGAATTACATAATAACATTGTTTTGCTTTCTCTCTGTTTTTCACAAGGTGCACTCCTTATCTGCAATACTTCTTTGCCTAAATTATTAAAAAGTATAAAATACTATAAATATTATGAAGTTATTACAAAATATTATAAGATGATATAAAATATTTTTGGCTTGAGAAAGATTAATTGTCTTTTGTAAAGAATATTTATGGTCTAAATACAAAAATATAAATCATATGTTACACATACTGGGATAAATCAATTTATATATGCTAGTATATACTATACTTATTTTTTTATATGATCAATATTTTTAAAATATTTTTTTACCAATCTAAAAATTTAATTATATGCTTTACGCGATTAAATATGCATAAACTAGAGATAAAAAAATTGTTATAAAATTATTCGTAAGAGTATATTATTGTATAAACTACAGAATTAATATAACGTGTTCAATCACACAATGCACACACAAGTTGTCTAATGAAAAATAATTTGTATAGATAAGAGAGCAAATTAAAACTCTTCGTCGAGTACAAGTGAATGACCTAATCTATTGTGATTAAGTACCATCATAATACTAAGTTCTATAATTAATATTATATAATAATTGAAAATTATTTTAATAATTAAATATGCTAATCAATAATATAATAATAAGAAAATATAACGTAAATAACATTACTCATTTTATAGTTTAATTCTTTTGATTTAGACTATATGATTTTGGTTTCTGAATTTTTTAATTAATTGTGTCCATCTATTTTAAAATTAAACAAGTTTGGTCTCGCTAATCAATTATTTTACATAAAATATTAAAATTCTCATTTTATATTCAACATTTTCATTAATTGAATCACTTCAATTGTTTTAAATCTTTTCTTCTCAAAATACATCAATCAAAACATTAAATTTCATCCAAAATAAAAAAAATTAAAATTATCCCTTTTTAAATTATAATCTCACATTCTACAATTTTTTTTATCAAAAAAGAATTAAATTTACTATCAAATGAATAGACTTATTTTGTATATTAAATTCTTCATAAATCTCAAAATATTTAGATAAAAGAAAATAATTTTTTTTGTCTAAAGTAAAAATACGTACAATGCTTAAATTTGCTTTTGTTTTTTAATCAGAAACTTAATTAACACGATTTAAAAGATTAATGTCATATAGAACTTCGAATAAATTTATTAAAAGTAAATATCAAGACTTGATTCAAATTTCTCAACCAGTTATATATCTCTTTAAATAATATATATATATATATATATATATATATATATATATAAAATAAAAAGAAAGATAAAACAGTTGAAACTTCAAAATTTGAAAATTTTTCAATAATATATGTTAATCTTTAATATGATAATTTTTATTATCCAAATTATTAACAATATCAGTGATATTGAAGAATAGATACACAAGTTTTTGTGCTTGCGATTCTTGTGTAAAACGAATTGGGCTTCATCAAATGAACCTTGAACTGGTTTGTAAGAATGGGGCTAGCAGAGCCTAAGCTTATGTACTCAAGACAAACAGCGTCTTCATTATTCAAAAGCAGCAAGTGACCATTAAGAAAAACCTTTAGACTGGCTAACAAAAGAAAAGTTATCATTTTAGATAACGAAGAAAGTCGTCATTAATTCTGGATAACATGCAAAAAAATGCAAACAAAATATGGAGTCAAGCTATAATAACCACATAAAATAAAAACTCAGCCTAAATAAAATTTTAGTCCTTATAAATAACATTTTAATTGTCTCTATAAGAATATCATTTATATTTATTCCTAATATTTTTAAAAAGTGAAAAATTAGTCCTTATTAGAGATTAAATACTAACAAAGTATTTTAAATGATTTTAAAAAGTGAAAAATTAGTCACACTTCAAATTGTCTACTACTACTCTTCTTTAAATAATTTTAAATTTTTATTAAATTAATAATGAATATATCTAAATAAAAAATATTAAACAAAAAGACACAATAAATATATAAAAAATTATTAATAAACATTCTTATAAATATATCTATTGGACCCATAAAAATTCCATAGGCAACATCACAACAAATTTGTAGAAGTCATAAATAAACTAATTAATTACGCCAATTCAGAGTTATTAGGCTAATTAAAACCTAAGGGTCAAATTATTTAATCAACTCTCGTTTATTTTGAGTTTAGAATTTCGTTATGACAAAAAAAGATATTGAAGTTTCTTTTTTCCCATTTAAAATATTATCTAATATTAATGTATATATATTTTTAAAAAAAAACCTTTATTAC